AAGTGGATCTGTTTCATATAGCTGCGGACCCCTTTTAGGCAAATGAAGCTTCAGAGGAGACAGTGCAGCTCAAGAAGACTGCTTTCCTGATTCAGTCTGGGTTAGGGAACTAAAGCTGGATGGTAGGAATGCCTTCCTTAGTGTATTTTGTGTCTTGTTTCATCCATCATTTAAAAATGGAAATGACCCTTGGCAAAGAAATTGCAGTGTATTTTCTGAGATTAGGGCCTTTCGATAGGTCCTTTTAGTTAAAGCTGTAAATAAAGGTCTCTTGTTCCTTGAAAACATAGGCTTTTTGAATAGGAAAAAGAAGAATAATGCTGGAATTGTCAGCCACTATCCTGCACTCTCTGGAGCCCTATATTGAAGGTACAAAGTTTGCAGATCATTCTTTCCACACTGTGTCCGTACTGGTTGCAGTATTCTGCAGAGATTTCTTAGATAAGGTGCTTCTGTAATGTTGAATGATTCTGCCTCTGTCATGTGGGTTGTAAAACCTAATGGCTGATGTCTGAACAGCTCCACTAGTGATAACTGCTTTCCTCATCGCTTATTCTCCCTCCTTTTTCTAGGTCTTAGCTTGCTGGTTAAATTAGAGACTTATGTTAATCTAATGGCTCCTTCCTGTTTCTCACAGGTGTCTCTCTTGCTGCCATGCTCTGTACAGTCCGTTTCTTTCCAGCCAGAAACAGACAATCGCTCTAACTTTCCTAGTGACAGAGCATTTCACATATTTAAGAAACAAAGGTAAGTTTCTTCTACTATTGCTGTATGGCTCGCAGGGTATAATCGTTCCATGACTGTGAGCAAAGGATATTGTCTCATGTATGCTACATGCTGTAGAAGAATCTTGAGACTTTCATTCTTATTTTACCAAAAAAAGAGAAAAAAGAGAAGTCTTTGTCCGTATCAACTGCAGGAGCTAAGTGCATAATGTCTTTAGAGAAGAACCGCCTAATTCTTCAGGAGTAGTTATTGAAATTTCTGGTAAAGGCCAGTGCAGTCACCCTGGATTGCTCCTGCGTAAAAATCTGGTACGCTTTTATTCTTCCTGCCACCTCCCTCCATGCTCGCAGCAACAGGGTGAGGGCAGAATGGCAAGTTGTCTTGGTCCTTTTTTTCTCTTCTCATAGGTATTATTTCATGTGGCTTATTCTTTCCTGCCTCTCAGTCTTCAGTGTGTCTGGTAATGGGTGGTTTGGTCATTCCATCAGAGCTTGGGCATAACAAGCTTAAGCACTTGCTGTCAAAGACACGGAAGATGGAAACTCGCTGAAGTACCCTAACATTAATGAGTTTTGCAAAGGTATCTGATTGCTTAGAAGCTTGAGCTGTTTAATCTGAGGTAGATTCTTGCTGGGGAATTTAGGAGCAATAGAATATTCAGGTGTTGGTACTTCAAATTTTGAAGAGTGGGAAATCATAGCCTTAAATATCTTGATTCACAGGGACATATTTTATGAACTACTGCGTGAGTGGGAGGATAACCATGAAAAAACTGGATGGGACTTCGAAAGAGTTTTGGGCAACAAGATCAGGTAGGAGTCTCATGCTGCTTGAGCAAGCTCTTTAATGTACCTGAACGTATCTGGGAGCTGAATGTTTCAATTTTCTTTCTAAACAACATCATTACTGCGGGAAAGCAAGACTTTTTATCTTTAGGGCTGTGTTTGCTCTACAGGTCCTCAGGGAGAATTTTTGTTTCTGTGATCGACAGATGGGGCTCAGTGCTTGGGAAACTTGGTTATAAAGATGTTACTTTTTGCAGTGGCCTTTGGAGATTGCTTTCTTTAAAGCAGTTGTTTTATGCTTTTCATTATAGTTTGAGGTTAGAACACCTTTTCTGTACTACCGTGATCCAGTCAAGGTTTTGTAATGTTTTCCTTCACAGGGCCATGATGGCTCACCTGTCTGCAACCTGCAACCACAGCCATTTTGCCAGGCTCTTTCAGAAACAGCTTATCCAGGTAAATGACTTCGGGTTTTTTAATGGAAATAGGTATCTTGGCCTGAGAAAACAAACTGTGTCTTGCAAGTTTCTTTGAGATTTTCCTACTGAGATTTTTGGGGGGAGAAACAAGTTTTCAGGATGGGAATTTCCTTCCTTTTCCAGAAATACAAATTAGTGATAAATTACTGATGAACACTAAGCACATCATGAGCTATAAGAATTCATTTTTTATTGTTGTTTACTTTTAGCTTCTGATATTCTAATTTTTAGAAATTTTAAGGATATATTTTGACATATATCAAATGCAGAGCTTCCCAGTTATATATGCAAAGAGTGTCTGGTTCTTCTGTGTAGCACTGCAACAGCCTCTTTTTGATGTAAGTGCTGCTGTTGTAGTTTGCAGGAGTTTTTGGCTGGTTTTGAGCATCATTTGACTTCACTGTGACTGAAGGCACAAAAAAAGAAAAGATGCTTCTGACTGGAGTGTAGATATTCATTGCATTCCCTGTAAATGGCTGGCTAATTGGTGGGTTCCTTTTGGATAGCAAAACAGACACAAAACCTCTCCCTGAATATTAGCCCACACACATTGCCAGCAAGTTGTGATCAGCTGCAACGTCAAAAAGTCCTCTAGTGTCCACTTTAAATTTGCATCAGCGTCCTGTCTGATGTGTGTGTGTTCAGGGAGATTGTGGGAAAGAGGTGAGATGGACTTGCACCAGCAGGATTTAATTAGGGTCAGCTACTGCATTTCTTCTTCCTACCTGTGCCTTCTTGATGAACGCTGCAGGGTCTCTAAAGGGTGACCAAAGATTAAACTGAAAACTGGGAGTCATCCGTGCATCTGATGGGTCTGGCTAGAAAGTTTTGCGGAGTCTTGTGTGTAGTTACTATACTCGTGCAGAAATGAACCTAAACTGAGGATTTGTGTTGAAGGCCTGATAATTTAAAGGTTGGAAAGCAGAAGAAGGTGTTCTTTTGGGAGAGGAAGATGCTCAATTTGGAATAAATGGACCTAGTAATTCTTCGCTTGATACTCATAGTTAAATGTTGCTTTTTGGTATGATTTCCCTCATTAAAGCTATCCTGACTTAGAAATGGGAGTATGCAGTCATGTTTTCCCTTTACTCAGCATTGGTTCGGTTACAGCTGGAGGACTGTACCCAGTTTTGGGCTCACCAGTACGAGAAAGATACTTACTAGAGTCCAGTGCAGAGCCACAGAAATTATTAAGGGACGAGGGCATTTTTTGTATGAGATGAAGCTGAGAGAGCTGGGACTGTTTGGCCTGGAGAAGGCTCCAGGTTATCTTTGCACTATGTACAGACTCTCGATGAGAGGGAATGAAGAGGGAACCAGCATCTGTTCTCTCCACGCATCTGGATGTAGCCTGCTGGATATGGCCAAGTTAGATGTCTAGGATCCATCTCTCGAGATCTCTAAGCCATTTATGGCCGAGGTGGCACGTTTTGGCATGAGGACAATAGACCTTTTGTACGTGGGCTGCCTGAAAAGGCTGTGCTTGGATTGCTCCTAAAGCAAGATCTTGTGAGGGAGGGAGGATGTGTGAGGCGAGAGATGAAATGAAATGATACCTTGTTACCAGTTTCCCACCTTGATGCTCTTTCTGTCTCCTCAAGATGTGTAAAGGTCCTATTGGCGGTGGTGCAAGCTGGGGAGACACCCCAGACCAGGATGTCCTTAATATGCTGGGTTCTGATAATCTGAGCCGTCTGAAGAGGCTGCAGGAAAGATTCGTTGTTCCTCAGAGCATCAGAGGGCCTTGTCCACCCCCTTCATTCCCGGGGTGCCAGCAGTTCTTCAGGGACTTCATCCTCAGCGCAGGAAGGTTAGCTGCCCGTGCTCGCTCTTTCCTTTGTGAAACGTGTGGGTGAGTGGGGAACACCAGTGTGCTGGTGCTGCAGCGGGGAGTTGTCTGGAGCATGTCAGGAATGTTTTTAAGCTGCATAATGCCACACGTGGTGTTCTCAGCCAGCACGCACAGCGAGCATGTTAATAAGCAGGTTCTGCCTGGAGCATAGAACGTGTTTGTGTGTGTGTGTGCCACATTAGGAGTAGTTTCTTTTCTATAAAACCATAATACCTTGTTACAGGCCATCAGCATTTCCCAGTGCCAAGGTGTGTGGTGTTGCCTGGCAAGGCCACTCGACTGGCCAAATGTTTTTTGTGTGGTAGCGCATGATGCTGAGTTGTTACGAGATGAAGCCAGGTTTATGATTTTGTTTAATGAGGTTTTCACCATCCACAGCATGGAGGAGTTGTGGTCTGTGGGAGATTTGACTCTTGAGTTCAGTTACTTTACAGCTGCCTGCTTCGACAGATCAGTACTATTATCCTTATGCCGGGCCTTGCTAAATAGCATCTGTTTGAAAATGTACAAAATAAGAGTAGAAAAGAAGGGGATCAGCCAGTACTAATCTTGTCCCTTGCTTTCTTGTCTGTCAGTGTGTTACATTCGGTATCTACTGATGCTTGATACAACTCATGAGACAAGCTTGGAATTTTGCAGTGTGGTAGTTGAGGTTTCGCTGCTGTTTTCAGCCCAGTCTGACTCATCATCTTTTGCTGAAGTTACCAGTTCAATCAGCACCTGATGGATAGTCTGTGCCTGAAGATACTGGAACTCAATGGCCTTACTCTGGTGGAGCATGAGCACGGTGATGGGGAAGCAGATATGGATGAACAGGTAAGCTTGGTTTTTGCAAACACATCAGGCAGGAATTTCCCTGAGCTGTTCCAGTACTCGGACAATTACTGGCTTGATTGTGAGTTGCTTGGAGCTTCCACTGCTGTCTTTGCAGATCAAGAGCTTCTTTGTTTGCTTTTGTTATAACTCTGCAGCTTGGTTATGGAGCCTCTTGCCATTTTTTTGCGTGTTTCAGGATGTTTCATATGACTGTGTTGTAAGAGATGATGCACAGTAGTTTGAAAAGTGCAAACCTCCTTTTCAGGTTGTTAGTACCCTGTGTTAGATCAGTGAAATGACTGACTCCCGTTGTTGCACTCAGCTGCAGCAGCTCCTTTTCCATGGAGAAAGATTTTTAGTTGGAATGACTTTGTAGTCATGCATGTTCATACCCGTTCAGATGTTCCTTCAGTCATCTGTACTTATCAGAGGTGTCACTGCTTACGGTCTGTTAGCAAAGCAGCAGCTGAAGGTTTGTGAGGACTTGCAGAGCAGACATGGCGTAAAGGAGGCAAGAGATCAGCTCTCTACCCTCTCGTTGACTCCAAAGTTGTTAACGGGTTGATGTGATTGAGCAGCTGGTTGGTTTAGAAAGCTCTTGTATTAATTTTGTCTCGCTGTGAAGCAGTGGAGGCAGAAACAATTTAGAATGCTTGATAAATAGGTCTTTTGAGAACTTAGCTTTATTAAAAGCAGTGGTGAAGCTACGCACTCCTTTTACATGAAGGGGGTGGAAGTTTAATTGCCATTTAGGATAGCATTGCCCAGCTTGCTTTTCTTCGTTTCAGGATGAAAAGAAGCGTTTCACTGTGGTCCTGTTAAGCCTACGACTCCTCGCCAAGTTCCTGGGGTTTCTTGTTTTCTTGCCATATCGCACCATGGATCAACCGACTAGAGACTTGCAAGACTCTGCTGTAGCATTAAGAAACCAAGTAAGAAAACAAGCTCTTCTAAGAAATCTAGCGTGGCCTTTTGCTTGACAGGCAGGTTTTCTAATCCAAGGAAGAGATTGTGAAGATTTTTATGCCCTTTCAAAGCGAGCCAGTGGTTTCTGGGATGATGTTATACGCTTCTGTGCTCCTACTGCGTGTTCTGGGGTTGGGAACAAAGGAGAGAAGAGTTTGCATAAGCTAGAGGAGAGGGAGCCAAGCACTGATGGTCTGGGGCTGTCATAGCAGAACTCTGACCTAGCTAAGGTGACTTGTATTTGTAGTTTGAAATGCAGTGACCAGGAATGTTTCTGTGAGTTTAGCATCCACCTCCTGGCAGTGTGTCATACTCAGCGCAGGGAGGCAGGGGTTAGACCTTGACTCCACTTGTACGTAGTCAGACTCGTAGCCTTGCTTTTGAAAGCCCTGGTAGGACCTCAGCTTGGTGTCGTAGTCTGGTTTTTACCTCTGTTCGCGTGCAAATAAATGTTTTCTTAATCCAGAAAGTCATCTTTTATTTGCACAGAAGGTGAAATTCTAGAAAGAAAAGTCAAAATATAGGTAAAGTTATTCTTTTAAGGATAAAAAAGTAACTTCAAGCTGCTGCTTTAACTTCTGTTTTCCATTTAGACCCTGCCTGTACTGGATGTTTTGAAGCTTCTGAGACAATCTATTCGGGACCAACGTTCCATCCTCACTATCCCTTGGATTGTGGAGTACCTTTCCCTGGTGGATCATATTGCTCCTTTCCTTGATTACTACAGGAAAGTATTTTGTCTCTTGCTGCAGGTATACAGGTAAGAGCCTGGGAAAGGATATTTATTAAGAATTTCTCTGTGAAGGTTTGCTTACTTAGTTGAGGCGCCTGGTGTTCGAGAATGCCTGCTGGCCCTAGCTTGAGATTCTTAAAGTGCTTTTTTGTTGCAAATCATAAGCACTTCTCATTTTGCATAAAACTGCAAAGGGTACACATCCTAAACTCAGAAGTTAATACTTGATTTAAATGTGTTGTTTTTCATTAAGTAAACAAAACTCTTTAAATCCCTACTGACTCCTCCTACATCTGCAGCTGTGAATTTTCAACCTTGAATTTGAACCTTAAACCTACAAGGTCTCCCATGCCTAAAGAATGGTCTAGTTTTCTTTCCTAAATACAGGAGAAGAATTTGAAGTGCATTCTAGAGAGTCACTTAACATTAGCTTGTCCAGTGTGTTATTCAGATGCATATGTGCAAAAAGTAGAGCTTGCTCTCTGCTCTTAGGACAGACAAGTAAAGAACGTGTACATGGTGATGAATTAGAAAAGGAGTGGTTTGGGGTGTTTGTTGTTTTTTTTTTTTTTTTCCTTAATGAAAATTGAGCGACTGAAATCTAATATTCTGTCTTGCTGCTTCTGCTTCATGGCAGGTTAATGGTCCTTTCTGAAGATAAGGAGATGAGTTTCCTGAACAAGCTGCTGATCCTTGCAGTTCTAGGTTGGCTTTTTCAGGTAGAGTCTCCTGGGCGCGCACAGATTTTCCCTGAAGAAAAAGCAGGGCACAGAACTCAGTAGAAAAAAGTAATAAAATGAGTTAAAACACTAGTTTGTAGTTTTGTTGTGTTTGTTGTTTTTTTTTCACACTAGTGTTGGTTTTAGAGTCCTCTGCATTCTAACAGAGGGTTATTTTTCCTCTAGTGGAATTGTGGGAAGCAACATTTTCTTTTCCAGTAAGAGTTCTGATTGCTGCTGAAACACATTATTGTGCTTACAAATCTGCATCCTTGTAAGCAGATAGACAGACAATTCCTGTTAGAACTGGAAGCCCTTGTCACAAAGCTGGCAGCCCTGAAATACTGGGGACTTTTTTTGTCTGATGAAGGGATGGTGTGTGAAGAACTTTTGAAATCCATCTGTGCCTCCAGTTGGAAGCAGGGTAACTGCGTAGCGGGAACCTGTTGGAAAGGTGAAAAGTGCTCTGTGGGGAGGGTACAGAAGGTGGCTTATTGCGATCAAACTAAGCCTTTAATTCTACAAAAAGATCCTCCGTAGGGTGGAGCTGATCCTTAGTCCTAGTTTATTTTGTGGGTGGCAGGTTGGTGAGACTGTCGTCTTTATCAGAAACGGTGTGAATTTACTGTTTGGGTTGTAACTGCTGGGGTTTCTGTTTCAGGTTCCATCAGTTCCTGAAGAGTTGTTTTTTACCACTGATGTCAGGCAGGAGGGATTGATGATGGATACTGCGACATCTGCTCAGGCTTTGGTGAGTTAGCACAGTAGTATGTCTTCTGAATCTGCGCATGAAGGTGGACTTGCCGCGGCCTCAAGAGTTTTAAGATTTTTACCAGCAACTTGGCTTCAGTGCAGCTGTCTTGAGCAACTGCATGAAAAGGGGTAACTGAACTGAAAACAGTATGAGCAAGCAGAAAAATATGGCAGGTGTGACATTTCGGATAACTCCCAGATATGCGAAAAAATACATGAAATTCCTTGAAAAATGAGCAGTATCTTTGCCAAGATAGCACAGAATCATTCTGTGATATCTTTGCCAAGATATCACAAGAACAAGATATGTGCATCTTGTTTTTAATTAGAAGGTTCTGGTTTGCACTGGCTCTTCAGTGGTGGAGACGAGATTCAGAGATCAACTGATTAATTTTTTTTTCCAAATGAGCACAGTACCCACTGCCCACGTGGATGGTAACTCGTCCCATACCTCTGGCTGTGCTGTGTGGTGCTGGGGTGACATTACTCTGTGGTGCAGTGCTGCACTGAGTCCAGTGGCACCTGTGGAGGTATAATGCACAGCAGATGTGCCTCATTATACTCCTCCACGGATAGGTCGGGTTTTTTATGAGTAGCAGCTGTGGCAACTAGTCTTGGCTCCCTTCTGTAACCATCAGCTTTCAGCTGGGCTTTGGCAGCAATCGGAACCAGAGGTTGAGCTTCTCTAACGTAGAACAGCTTGGGGAGTGTTACAGGGCTGGACTGAACACTTGGACTGCAGAGTTCATCATTTTACTGTGGATTTGGAGTCTTGATGTTTTTATTGTTTTTGTGGAAAGGCAGTTCTGAAACCTGCCGGTGACCATGGGTTTGGGATTTCTGACTTGCCGAATTTCTTGCCTGCTGTGTCCTTTCAGCATTTCCTTCCATTTCTGACAGGACTCTGTACCCTTGGTGGATCAGCAGTTGCTTTATACCTGCTGTCCCTATCTTGGTGAGTATTTTATTTGTATTTGATATATAAAATATATTTGTATATATGTATTTATATTTTTAATTTCTGTTTGTCTGTTGGTGCTGTGAGTCCTGGGATCATCTTTCTCACCACTCCTCACACCTTCAGGTCTCAGTTGCGTGTGAGTCAACCTTGATAAAAAGCTGTATTGCAGAAGCTTACGTGGGTGTGATGAGTGTCTGGTGAAGCTGGGGGAGGGAGGCTGCAAAGTCAGGATAGTTGATCTGTAGAGCTCAAATACAGAGGGATGGGGGACCTCATCCGTCACATCCTTCTGCTGCCAGGCAGAGGGGAAAGATCCCCTTTGTACCCTGGTGCTTTATCAGGTTATTGTTTGAGATCTCTTTTTTTCCTGGAGTCTGACTGCTGTTGGTGAAATCCCTCTCTGTAGACGATAGAGTCCCAGGTGGTGGGATGGTGCTTCACTTCTTGGTACTTACCTGCTAGGAAAACACTGTGCTAAACCTGCATTACAAAAGCTTCTAGGGATTGAACATGTCTTTAAGCTTTTCCCCTGGTATTTTCTCCTGACCTTGTAGGCATTTTGTGTAACTCTGCTTGCCTTGATGTCCTTGTAAGCTTTACAGTTCCTGCTTGCCATGCTAGAAGGGGGTGCATAGAAACAGCTGCTCCCTGAGCCTTCTAAGTCTTGTGTGCCAGGGAACTTTTTTGGAAGTCTCCTATCTTCAGAGCCTTGCCTGCCTTGCAGTGCTCTGCCAGTTAAATGGGTGGGATTGTCCCTCTGCTTTTTTGAAACTCCAGCTTTCACAGAGGCTTCAAGAATCTCCCCTGGGAACAGGACTGACAATGTGAAAGTCTCAAGTTTTGGTTTGTTGCCTTGATCAGGGGGGCAATGACTGCTTTTGCATGTTTCTCTGTACAGGTGAGCTGCGGAAGCTGCTTGCCTCCTTTGTGGCTGGTAGCGGAGCGAAAAATGGTGGCTTTATAAGGAAAATCACTCCCACAGCTGCAGAGTCCTTGGCACCCAAGGCTTCTGTCACGCACCGGAAACTGCAGGTAATGGAATTGGAGAGTGGCAAGGGGTAGAAGGGTGGGAGAAGTTTCTTGTGTGAGAGTAGGGTACGCAGTGGTGTCCTAATGCCAGGGAAAGAAAAGAACGGGCCTAGGCAGCAGTGAACGTTGTGTTGAACAGTTGGGTACCCTTAGTCCTCATTCTCCTGTTACAGTCATGTGGCTGGGATACCCTGTGGGTGCTGAAATCCAGGTAACTTCAGTAAAACATTCTTGCAACAACTAGCCTGTTTCTCTGCCAGCCTCTTCATTGGTGTGTTTCTCATACTCCGTTTTGGCTGGATTGTAGCCCTGATTTCCACCAAAAGAACCAGCTGTGTAGGAGCTTACAGGACTGCTGGCCTGTAACGGAAAGAGAGGATCCTTTCTTTCACAGTGTGGTGACTCACTGCTAGTAGGTGCTGTCAGAACACTCCTGGACTTCCCTTTACTGGGCATTTGTTTTTGTAACTTCACAAACCCTGACAGTGACTTTTGGGTTAAACAGTTAGAAGGAGACAGAGAGCAAATATTTTACAGGGGTGCCAAATGCTGCAGTAGCAGAAAGTTCTAGTGTAGGCAGGTGGGGTGTCTTTTAGCACAATTCCAGATGGTTGTTCTGTCGTTCTTGTGTTGAGAAGGATCTGCGGGGAGTGCGTGAATCAATTGTAGCACTTTCCTCTTGAACAGGTAGAGTTGGAACAGGCCTTCTTCCACAACCAGCCTCCCTCCCTACGGAGAACAGTTGAATTTGTGGCAGAGAGGGTGGGATCCAACTGCGTTAAGCACATCAAGTAAGTGCTGGTGATCCGTGACTTAAGAAGTAACAACTATGCTACCGAGGCAGAGAGTTAAAATTGTGTATATCAGGAAAAGATTCCCTCCGAGTGTGCTGTATAGCAGAAAGCCAAGGCTATGTAAGGCATATGTATGACAGGAGTGGGATCCAGAAATGTCTGATTGCCATCAGAGACGGGAATTTGGGAAGGGCTGCGGAGAGGAGGGTTATATGACTCTGGGATGCTTGGAATGTGAACGTAGGTGTGGTATTTTAAAACTTTCTATCCTTTTTGGAATGCTCTTGCTAATGATGAGAAAATCTCAATCAGAAGGGACCTGAGGTCACCTAATCCAAACTTCTGCTCAAAGTAGCACCAGTTTTCAAGTTCAGTCAGGTTGCTTGGCACCTTTTCTGGCTGAGTTGTGGAAGTCTGTAAGGATGGGGATTCGGGAGGCTCTTAGTACCATGTTCCAGTGCTTAGTTTTCCTATCGGAATTTCCCCTTTTCCACCTTGTGCGTGTTATCTGTCAGCCTTTAGCCACATGCTTCCTGGAAGAGTCTTGTTCTTTCTTATCTGTGACCCTTTCTTTTCCCTTCTCTTCTCCTGGGCTGTGAAACCAGCTCCCCCAGTCTCCTTGTCGGTTGTGTGGGGACAACAGCTGGTTACAGTTAGTGTGCACTGTCTCTAGCGTTGATTATAGTCTGATTGTTCTTGGTTTGTTTTTTTTACAGGGCAACACTGGTAGCAGAGTTAGTCCAAAGGGCTGAAGGCATGTTGCAGGATAAAGTGAAGGAGGAGGATGCTAATCAAGACAAGCTGCTCGAAGAGGTGTGCGCTCACCTGTATGAGGAAGGGGCCCAGGCACTCATCAAAGGCAGAGAGTAAGGAGAAACAGTTATTTAAACTTCTGCCTTCCCTTCTCTTCTTATTGTGGACTCCGTGAGCCTAATTCGGCTTGGCCTGTCCTGCTCAGGTTCTGGTGATGATAAACCCTGACCTCTGCTCTTCTTAGGGTGACTGTCTGTGGCACCTCCGGCCAGTTATTGCTGTATCTGTAGGAAGGAGTGAAGGTGCTGTGTTTGTCCCCCTGCACCCAGCTCCAAAGAGCCATCCACTGCAGCTCTTGTATTTCCCCTCTTTGGAAAACCAAGTGTAGCAGCTTGGTGGTGCCTTGTAATTGCTCTTTCCTCCTATGGCTCTTTTGCTCTGACTTAGTTCGCTGCGGCCTTCCAGCTGGTTTTGACTGTAAGAGAGCGTGTGAAAGTTACTACGGTGACGAACCTCTGGATGTTGCCCAGGAACTTTTGACTAATCCTGTGGCATGTTTTCTTTCTTTTCTTGCAGATTTTGCAAAAAGAAAGGTCCTGAGGCAATAAGGGTGTTACTACCGGAAGAGACCTCTGCAGCAGTATGTATTTTCATTTAATTCTGGACTGTTTTTCTATTGCTGCTTCACTTATCCCTTACTAGCTTAGGGCAGTGGAATTGGTTGGTGCCCTCCTGTGAGGACTAACAGCTGAGGAGAGTCACCTCTGCCAGGCTGCCTTGGATAGTCTGCCTAAAGCACCAGTCTAGCCAATAGCTAAGTGTCGAGACTAGAATGGTATATAAATTGCACTCACCTTGAGAGGATAATGCTTTTTGGTTTAGCATCACCTTACCCATGAGCTGTTGGGGTTTGTAGGAGGATGAGGTTTGGGAAATCAAAACAGGTCAGTCCTATTGCTCAGAGCAGCAGTTCCCACAGGGTCAGTGCCCTCCGTTTTAATGTTGCCTGCCAGAATTAAGCTCTTTTTCCCCTCTAGGCTTTCTTCTGACTCTCACTGACTACAGTGCTGTGGCTAGTAGTAAATCTCCTGTCACTTGTTATCCTCCCTCTAAAGGTTTTAAGTAGCGCAGAAGACATCGCGGTGGAGCTGGCAACCGAGAAAGCCTGTGGCTGGCTTTCTGCCAACATTGCAGGTGAGTCTCCTTACCCTGAACTGGGGCTTCTAACCCATGTACCATGCTGCTCTTCTGAGGTCAAGGGGTAGAATGTACTCTAATACTTGCTCCTACTTCTTTTTCTTTTGGTGGGAAGCGTGCTGTTGCTCTGTCCCTCCTTGTTTAGGAATAAGAGGAATGATTTCTAGCTCCAAGAACCTTCTTCAGGGATTTTTCAGGCTTGGCCTGTGTAAGTGATGTGTAGTTACGGAGGCTCACAGGATGGTGAGGATGAATGCTGTGGAAAGCTTTTTCTGAAAATGTCATCTAGGCTGAAGCTGTCTTAGCACTTTAAATGTATGGTACGGACGGTCGTGCTCACGTACAGAGTGCTTCTGAGATCTTCTGTAAAAACAAACACCCCTTACACTGGGTGTGTTTTCAGCAGGCTGAAGGCAACTGCAGCCCTCTCTGTAATGGTGCTCTGGCAACTCTTCGGAATCTCTGAAAACCCATTGGTTCAGGAGGTTGTGCCAAGAATCTGGGGGAAGAATGTCCAGCAACATTTGCGGCAGCAAGAGTTTAGTGTTTTGGATGCTGGTCAAAACTTATTTTGGTAGCAAACATACATGTTTCTTAGGCATGGCGGTTGGATGGGTGTCATCATGCCAATTCAGCTCTGTGCTTTAGTGCTGCTTCCTGGCTTAGCTCCTTTGTTCATTAAACCCGCTGAAGTATTTTGATGGAAAATGAGAAGAGTTGCCAGTGGTAATGGGTGGCTGCCTGGTAAGGGTAGCGTTCGGAAACAGCTGTCCGCCTCGCTGGAGAGAAAAGCTGAAGCAGACAGGATCTGTTCTCTGTTCTTTGTAGCACTCATCAAAAGAGAAGTGAAGGCAACCTTCAACAGGATGCTGAAAGTCCCAGGACTTGCCTTGCCTGGTGAGGATGCTCTGGAGTCAAGACGAGACTGCCCTCCAGGCTGTCAGCACTGTGCTCCCTTTCCCTCCCAAATCATCAATGAAATTAAGGTATATATACACCCCGCTTGCAGTTTGTGTGTGCATCAGACACATACAGAACTTCTGGTACCATGGCAGTGGCCCTTTTGATATGAGTAGCATAGAAACCATGGTATGGTGAGCATTGTGTACAGCTGTGTGCTCAAGAGTCAACATATCTACTTTTTGTAGACTTAGTGTTTTTATGGAGAATCTCCTGGTCTCCATGTAGTTGGAGTATTTCCTGTTGGTCTTGTCAGTTCTGTAGTACATGATACACTGTCCTGTCTTAGACACCGGGAATTCGATGTTGAATTAAGCGTCAAATGAATCTGTACGGATCAGCTCAAAGATTTTTTTTTTGCCCGTCTACATCTGCACCTTCATTCAGCTATAATTAGGATCAGAATATCTTAAAAAGGAGGTGATGGTGTGGACTTAATTTCAGCTGTAGATCCAAGCAATTTTCTACTCAAGCTGGTTCAAATCTTTTCTCCCATGCTTTTACAAGGTGACTGTTCTGGTAAAAATCATGCAATTATATAACCCGTGTGAGTAACCCATGAGGAAAAGAAGTCGTCTAAAAAACCTCACTTTTTTAGCATTATGTATTCTACCTATTCTTTTTGCTGCTTCTTGTCTGAGCAATAATACTGGATCTCCTTCTCATCACATTCCAAGCAATTTAACGTTTTCTTGCTCGAGGTAGAATAAAAAGAGTGAGGTATGTGAGGAAACCAGGATCTCTTTCTGTAAACTTGCTTTTTGGAGACATTTTTATATGGTATCTTGAGACACAGCTTTTAAAATATTGTTTGGGGTTTTTTTATTTTTATTTCCAACCTGGGTTTCTGATACTGGGTGGTAAATTGCTAGTGATGGAAAGTGCTACCACATGTAAAATTGGCTACACCAGTTTTCATACTGAGCTTTGGGTTGACATTGAAGCTACGTTGACAATATAAGAGGGCTCTGGATTTCTGTAGCATTTCTACCCTGAGTTTCTGCCTCCAGATTTAGCTGGAGCTTTCAGAGCTAGTTACTTTTAAGGAGGAGGAGCTCGTTGCCCTCATTGACTCTGACTTCATAACATCAGTGAGAACTACGGTGGAAAATCAGACCTAGGTAAGGCTGGAAAAAATTCAGCTGCAATCTGTTTTATGAAATGAGAAGGATCCCAGCTTAATATTTTATTATATTTTTCTGTTATTTTTATGAGGAACTGCATCTCTCTGTGAACTGCTCTGTCGTAGTTCCAAAGATCTGTTTCTGGAAGTGTGTGATACTAGCTGGTGAATGACTGCTGTCTTTTTTTATTTTTTATTTTTTCATCAAGGATGTGCTCTGTATTGCTGTGGGCCCACGGGGTGAGGGTGAAGTGATTGACTACATCTGGCTGGAGTGCTTGCTGGGAAGACTGAGTCAGACACTTCGATGCAGAAAGGTAGAAGTAGTAAAAAAAAGTAACAAAAAAAAAAAAATCCCCCTTGGACTACTTTGAGCTGTCTTCATACCTGTAAATTTGCCAGTTTGCCTCGCCTTACAGTTGAATTCAGGTGAATGTTTTTTTTTGTCTGAGCTCAAATGTGACAAAGTTGTGCTGCATTTTTTTATTGGTACTGTGTAGATCTGCTTGTTACTTAAAAGTAGCCTTTATGGATCTGCTTTTCATATATGATCTTCTCTTGTCTTTAATGGTCTCCTGATTACAGCTCTGTGCTTCTTGCTGTAAATTGCCTGCTCTTCTCTGATATTTTTATCCCTTGTGGAGCCCTTGTTTTATCCCATCCGCAGCGTGGGGACAAAGATACAACTTGGGTTTTGTGTTTTCCAGTTCATGTGTCCCACATCAGAACAGCAGCTGGCCAAGTGCACAGTTGAGTTGGCTTCTCTGCTGGGTAAGTCAGTCATGAGCAGCTATTTAAGACTGAAATCTGTTATTAAATTCTCTTAAATCCTTGGGGTCAGAGTCTTCAGTATTTAGAGCTCATGGATGTTTGATTCCCTGGGCGGTGTCATTATGTCTGCAGTCTTTTTTCTGTCAATTTGTGTGGTTGCTTTTAGTCCCTTCCACCTTCCGCAAAACAGCGTTTTGCTGTGACTCGCCATCCTTCACATCGGGTGTTCTTATTTGCATCTCCATTGTGCTTTGTTAATTGATACCATTATTTAAATATGGGATATGTTTTCCAGTATTGCTACCTCTGAAAAGTTGCAACTGAGGTGGGTTATTTTCCCCTATTAAAAGAGCCTGTTCCCTTAAATTGTATTTAACTTTGTTTTCTGTGTGTTGTGAATTCTGTGAGTGTTTTCAGGTGTGGAGTTTTTAAAATTCATTTTATTTTCTTCCTGCTCTGTGTTAAATGCAATGTTTTTCTCAGCAAGAGGTAATGATCTGGATGCTGGTGTTTTCTCCCTAAGGAACTGTCTAATTTCTTGTGTTTAGAACACTCTTAAAAACTTTTATATATGGTTCATTCTTTCAGAAATGTTGTGCAATTTCATTCTGGGGAGCAGCAATGTAAATCAGCCCCGTTCTGTTAGACTGTACCAAGGAAGAACCTGGTACGCTCAGCTCCAGTTCAACACCGTTCGACTTCTCTTTCACTTGTATGAAGTTACGTAGCTCTGCCTATAGGCAAAACAGCAAACTGTTTAATCTCTTTATAGATTTAAATGTTGTTTTACTGTGTTATTTTCTTCTTTTAGGAAGACTCGTAGGTCCTCTTTTATTCAATGTTGGGCTGACTTGTATTTAGTCACTTGTCTTTCCAGACTTGGGGCTATCTGCCAACCAAAGATATTGGTATTCTGAGTAGTATAAATCTCCTCCTATGTAATACTTGTTTGTATAGTTTCAAAGCTTGTAGTTTTGCATGTTTCTAATGTCCTCTCAGGTTCACTGGTTTTCCCTCAGCGAAGTGTTTTTACTTCAGTGATTGGGTAACAGCTATGCGAAATGCACTGTTGGACCAAGGTGAAGGCTATAAAAGGAAAATAGTGCAGCCATGGAAGTTCCCTTTTCTTCCATTTCTTACAGTTTCAGATCGTGTTCCCCTGAGTCTCAGGATCAATTCCCCAGAGAAGAGCTCTGAGAGGCTGCATGTAAAGAATAATCCCACCTATGGCCTTCTGAAGCTGCTGCTTTCTGTCTGGAAGGAGGACTTTGGGACACCTGTTCCTGTGCAGCTGATGTTCAGCAAGAAGAACATGGGTTATCTTGCAGAGGTTCAGATAAAGCGTGTTCCGATCCATGGAGCTGCCAGTTACCCACGCTGGTCTCATGTATTCCCATGAGAGTTCTGCCTGCCTACAGTGTAACGGGTTGCTTGTGTGGGTGAAACCAGCAGGATTTGGTCAGGGGGGCTCTTAGGAAGTCACAGTTTAATTTAGAACAAAGGGCAAAATTTGGCCTGGGAGATCGAGGACTGAATGGACTTTACTTGGGTTCCGTTCATGTGTCTTTTATCAGCTTTCTTTTTTGTGTGTGTGTCGGTGTTAAAAGATCCCCAGCTACACAGCTGAAAATCATCTGATTCAGTTGCAGGCAAAACCCAGTTTATTTCAGAAGGTAAAGAAAAGCGTTTTTCAAGCTGTTCTTGAAGGCAGAGGAACTAACCACTCAGTGTGTTTGGAAACTATGAATGAGAAATGTTGAGGCTGTGTGGTAGGATACAATCTATGAACTCAAGGAATTTTGTTCACTCAGTGTGGTTGTTGCTCTTTGGTGTCCCTCGCTGCCACACCCAGATAAACAATGTGCTTTCTCCTTTTGCTCCTTTTCTCCACATTCTCCAAGAAGAAAAATGTGAGTTGTGTGGGAGTACAGAAATTAACACAAAATCCATATCTTTGAGTTGTTGATGTTTTTTTCTCTTCTGCAGTGGGATTTGTTCCTTTTCATGCTTCATGGTCTTGTAGAGCATGAGCTAATGAGAACTAGTGAAATAGAGAATTGCTTGCACAGCCTCGGGGAGCTCCCTTGGCCCTCAGTAAGTAATTAGATGTGCACGAACAGTAAGTGAAATAAACAAGTAAAGCTACATAAACAGTCCATCCTAGTTGAGTCTCATGTGGATGAAGCCCATAACCTTCCCAGTCTATAGCTCCTGCTTAACGCGGCAGCAGGACTGGCTGCCAGTGAGCCTGTTGCTGGTGTTTGGCTGAACTCGGTCCCTGTGTGAGGCCCAGCATTGCTTGTGCGTGGAAACATTTCCAAGAACATTGTCAGCGAGTTCAGAGACCAGCTGGCTCGGTTACCAGCTCTCTCTGTTCTAGCTTGAACATGTTTGCTGTGCTCCAGCTGAGAAGGACGTGCCAGGAAGGGTCTTAACTGACTGGGCTGGAGTTTTAAACCTCTTTGCCTCCTACCACCAGAACGTGAGAGGAGTCAGACTGTTCTAGCCATAGTCAAAACGCAGGAAACAGCTCAGCTACCCCACTAAAAATGAGCAATATTTCAAGGCTGGTGAGAACTGGCATGTTTGGAGGGGTTGAAGCCTTTTAAACTATGGTGGTGATCTTCTCTCAGAGGAGTGGGGGGATTAGTGGGGAGATTGAACGTGCAGACCCACGGGAGTTCATCTTAGCAGTCAGTGGTGGAGCTTCTCTGGGTGTCTGCACTGGAAAAGCAGCAACAACATGTTTAACCTTGTAATTTTTTTACTAGAAGAATTAAAGCCTCTGTTGACATGTGTTAATAAGGCTTCTCTGGTTTGTATGTTTTGTTACAGGATTTTTTAAAGGAACTGGAAATGCTGTCTAGAGTATTTACATCAGAACATCACAGAGAAGAGCCCAGGACTAACCCTTGTGAGCTGACCAGACAACCTCTAGGTACCGTGACAGCACAAAGTTAGCGGAGGTGGACTCTCTGTGGACAAAAACAATTACAAGATGCAAATGGGAGTTTTGGGTGTTTCCGAAAGCGTTGTGAGCGCTCCGCCAGGAGCTATCTGCAGATAAGAGGTCACTTTGGGCAAAACCTGCACTGCTCATTCTCTTTGCAGGCTTTTTGCTGTGGTGATTATGCTGAAGGCTTTACATCAGCAGATGGATCGCCAAACCAAAAGTCCTTTAAGCACCTTGGTCGTGGCTCAAAGCGGTTTTTTTGGTTTTTTTAGACTCTGGGACACTTTTTGTATTTGTGCAGCAAGAGGCTGAGACCAAACCCAGGAATCAATTCCAGGGGACAAGTTATTTTGTGATCAGAGAGATGGTTTCCTGGTGGCTATTTCTTCTCTTCTTAATGTAATTTGATTTTTCGTGCTGCCTTTTAACAAAGACTGTACTGTCAGGGGAGGGAAATGGTGAACCTGTTTAACATGGAGATAAGCCTATATTTATTTTTCATTGTAAGCTCGATTTTGAAGGTTTGATTTTAATTTTTTTTAAGACTCATTTTAAAAGTTAAACCATATTAAATATGTACACCAGAACACTGATGGTATTATTCTTAAAGGATGTAGATGCTTAAGTGATTTTCCATCTCTTGTTGGAAACAGGACTTGTAATTTCCCAGGGTTTTTAACATAAATAAGGGAGAACATATTTGTTTATATTTTTACCGAAGACAGTATTTTTAAGACACCTTTATAGTATGTGGACATAAATGGAATCTGGCTGCATTTCACTGTGGTTTTTTTATAATCCTTCTTGTCTCGAGTTTGGGTTTTTAGCAGACAGGGACTGCTGCAGCAAGAAAACTACAGCCTGGAAGAGCACACAGAGCATGGGCGACATCCCTGGGAGAGCCGGCTTTGAAAGGAATCCTTTTCGGGGAGGACAGCGGGCGTTCTCTGCCCCTGTGGCTATGGACAGATCATCACCAAGAGTGTGACCTCCCATCCACCTTCCCCCCCTCCAAGTATTCCTTAACTGAAGCCCAGGGCTTTTTAACTTGTTAATTATCTTACCTTTTCCTTGTGTAAGGTGAGAGAAGGTAACATCCTGGAGTCAGTGATTTAAGAAAAAACACAAACAGGTCAAATCAGGTAGAACTGTGGCTTCTGTTAAAAAGTATCTGCTACAGAGAGAGAGAAAAAAAACCATAGAGGCGCATTGGGGTCTGAACTGTATGAGATTTTTTTCTTGACTTGGTTACATTGAAAGATTTGGCATGTTCCCTCTGCACACCCCTCATTTTAGGGGTTCTCTGGGACTGAAGTGGAGTGTCCCTAGAAATGGGCGTGATGGGTAGGCAGCAACATGAATTGTAATAATAAGAAACCCATACCATACCTGCTCCTCGAGGTTGAGTATTATGTGACATTTTGCTGCAGGTTTCGTTTGAAGTTGTTGTTCGTCATAATAAACACAATTAAATGTCCTCGTTTGTGTTGAAGCTGTTGATCTATAACCTCTTTGTCCCAAGGCAAGGTACAAGAAGGTGCTGCACCACAAAGCATGGGGCAGAGGATGTATAGTGATCCCTCCTGCCTGGCCTGCTACTTCTTCGCTTACACCGAAATACAACTATATTTGTTGCGTAAGTGGTGTAGGGCTGGTGGAAGGGGGAAGAATCTGGAATCCATAGTGGTTGAAAAGGTGCTCTTGGCTCTGGAACTGACCTTGGGTGCTCTAAAACCGTTTGCACAGATACCAATACCATGGCCACAACTGTCCTTTTCTCATACAACATGCCTGAAAATTTTTCTATTTTAAAAGGTGACCAAGCCCCAGGAGCAGATTACTACTTCCAGAGACCACAGTTTTGCCCTGTGAGTCGGAAGGCAAGTTAGTTCTTCAGTGCTCACCAGCAGGTAAGAAAACACCCCAGTTTCCATCTTCTGGCTTAATGCAGCTCCCTGGGTCATGGGCAGTATCCCGGAGGAGCTGCGTAACTGGCTCAGGAAAAAGCTTCAGCCAATGCCTCATTTCAAAACACAAACAAAAAACCCAACAAACCCAGACCTTTGTTTGGAAAAGGCACCATGTGACAGAAACCAAATTCGAGCAGCGAGTGCCTCTCGTGCCGCAAACTGGTATTTGGCACGTGTTCCTCAGCAGGTGAACTACGAGACCTACATCCTGCCCCCACCCAAGCTAGCCTGGATGTGACTGCTCCATCCAGCATCGTTTCACAGACGCGTATCTTACCTGGAGCAAAATAAGGTGGGGCACGTTTTCTTGTGTAGAAAATACCATTTATTGTGGATATGAAAATAGCAATCTTGATTAAGAGCAGAGATGCAGCAGTAGGTGGTACCACACAATTGGTTTGATCATCTACTGCTCAGCAGTAACTTACAGGAAGCTGGTTTCTTTTGCCTGTTGTAAATGAACAAATTTGGTATCTGCTGGGTTTTTATTTCTTCCTTCCAAACAAACCAATGCCGTACATTAACAGGTACCATAAAATGTTATATTTGCAAAAGAAAACATTCATATAAATAGGCTTTTTAGTATCAATTGAAGGTTATATTAAAAAAAAAGTTACATTAATTCAATACTGATAAAAATAAAACTTAGCTTTGATAGCATATAAAACTGCTTCAAAACAAGCATATATAAATAACTTAATTTGTAAACATAGAAAAAAATTTTATGTGTATATAAAAATAAACATCTGATGCACTGTACAATAAGACATTACCTTTCATAGGCACTGGCATCGTTGCCCAATAGGACTCCCCCTAGATGTTTTTCCTACAAAAAAACTGCTTTATCACTAGTGCCATGTCTGAAATAAAGGGGGAAAAAACCCAAACAAACACAAAGCACTGAGCAAATCTTTTGTGGGTTGCATGAAAATGTCCCCTCCCTCCCCTGGCAATCCATGGAAGCAGCACTGGGGACAGCCAGCACTCCCTGCTGCTGGTTCTGCTAGTTTGGTTTGGGTTTTTTTTTTCCTGAGGCTTTTACATACAGCCTCATGTGATCTTCTTTTCTTGGTTTCCACCAGAAAGGGAGTGAGGGACGCTGCATGACAGGTTGCAGATTTGGGAATCTGTAATATAGTGGTGGTGAGATTGTAACCATGATTCTATGAAGATAAATTTCTAGGAAGGGAAAGGTTTTACTATTCTACCTGGTATATTTTAAGGGGCGTGTGAAAAAAAAGCCTTGGACTGGTATGTCTCAAAACTGCTATTTTTTTTTCTTAACTGTCAATTTAATGTAGTTATTTTTCTTTTAAAAATATATGAATAACAGGAAGTAACATAGAAGCTGAGAGCCAAAATTACACCTATGCAAAGATATAGCAAAAGTAGATTATTTTTTTTTTGGCTCTTGAACTCAAAGGCGAGAAGTGCAGCTAACTTCACTGTGTGCCGGGAAAATGCATCTTTTGCTGAAAGGAACTGCATTAAAGCATTAAAGTAGCAGATGCTGACTCTGGCAACGTGGATGCTTGAATATGTCTCTCTCACTTGACAAATTTGAAGTGCAATAGCTTCTTGAACACCATGGGCTTTTTTTTTTTTGAGCTAAAAAAAGCATATCAATCATAGCAGCTTTTATTGCTTGGATTAGATATCTATAGTGATTCTTTACCCTTGTGCTGAAGAACTAAATGAAGTTGTAGTTTTGTTTAAATATAGGAATGTGTGACTGAGCCAGGGAGTGTGTTGAACAAACATCTAAAGCGTGACAGCAGGAGCGCTGGACTAACTTCACGAGGTAACTGGCTGGGAAGAGTCTGTGTTCACAGCGGTGCGACAGCTGGTCGTGTTATAAACAGAGACGTGAGATAAGACTACAAGCAGGCTTGATTATTTCTTTTCTTTTTTTTTTTCCCCTCCGTTTTCCCAACTCTTAATACATTTGGGTGAAAGTGTAGAAGAGCTGATGGACCAAGCCATTGTGGAAAAATGCTGGAGCTACTCTTACGTGCAGGATTTAAATTCTAGAAACAAGCTGATTATTCAGTACTACTCCCTATTAATGACAAACCGTCACTGTTTACAACTGTCAGTTTGGTTTCTTTGTTTCAAAGCACCTAATTTCTGCAGTGCAGTAAAAACTGTGTCCTGAGGTGTGGTGGTTTCCACTGGTGCTGCATAGTCTAGTGGCAACCTGAAATACCTTCGGCTGGCCGCAAGCAGTCAGCCCGTTACGTGAGGGAAAAAAATCTACCGAGGGTGTACGATGACGAGTGGATATTGTGCTGTTCTCCTTTCCCTGCTTGAGGGACAGGACAGCCAGCTAGCTAAGTTTAAATGATTTATCTACACTGCGAGGAATTCTGCCTTGCCTACATCTCTCAGCAGTAGAAAGTGGCTCTGCCCAAGTGCTTGTAAAAGGCCTCGAGCCACACGTGTGCTGTTGTAGCACCTGCCATTGCTTCCGTTGCCTTTTTTCTCGCTGCTGCCTAAAATTTCTTGAAGAAAAAAAAGGTTGATCTTTGAAGTTCCTCGGAAACAGAAATTAAGTAACACACTTCTGCCTGTAAGGTGCTGGCTATTCTAAAGCAAAGTCTCTTCCTCTGCCTCAGCCCTTCATGCTCTTCTGCAGAGGTTCTCCACAGCTCTCTGCAGGAGGACGGGTTCCCCATAAAACGTGCCGGGTTTCTTCTGAGCAGCCTTGGCTAAAATAAATGATCCTTTTTTTTTTTCCTAACTATACTTCTGTCTTACCAGCCAGCATTTCACATTGCCCTTACAGGTGTTTCCGTCTCTTTGTGAACTTGCAGCTGCTGTTCCGCGCCCAGTTCCGTACCGGCCCCTAACTGGCCAGAAAGTGCGCCAGGCGGGCGATGACCAGGGGCTGCCGCTTGGCCATGGAACTCAGGAGCCGAGCAGGGACAGCTGGGGCACCGAGATCCACCTGCAGGAGTCAGAAGAAAGGCCCAAGTCAGGGCTTGTACCTGCTTTTGAACAAAGCACTTCTCCAGCCTGGAACAGCTCTGACATTGTGAGGAAATGATAAGCCCAGAAGTAGTTTGCAGCCAGATGCATTCATTTTGGTGTGGTTTGTGTCTTTTCCTTCCCAGCACGCCGCTGACTTTTGAAGCTTTGCTATTTGATGTTACTTTCAGCAGGCAGGACCCACACTGATTTTGAGTTTGAGCTTAGACTAAATATTATTAGTTTGAGAGAGATACAGTGCTACTGGAAATGTTTATGCATTTACTAAAGCGCAATATAAAACATTAAAATGCATATACATTACACGTGCACTGTAAAATACCTAAGATTGCTGTAATTTAATGATGATTTTTTTAAAAATTGTATCTTAAACTTGTTTTTTATAAATAAGTTGAAAAACTAATGCCATTTAGCTCTCAGTTGATCACTTTACCATAAGGTGTATCATTTATTTTTTTTCTTTTCTGGACATTTTTAAATACTTGGTACCACTGTCTCAAAGAGGAGTCTAAAAAAACGGATGCCAGGATTTTCTTATTCTTAACCAAGATCCTAATCTTGATGTCTCTTGTATCTATTCAGTGTGAAGAATTAATGACGTCGGTTAGAAAAGATTAACAATTATTTTGATGCATTTTTGAAAATAGTGTAACCTGAGGTGGATTTTCAGTGACTTGTATGGTCACTTTTAAATGTCATGGCGTGTAGCGTAAAGATTATATTTTTTTATTACTTAACAGCTCCAAAATGTTCTCATCTGTAATGGCTTTTTGCATTTGCACTGGACAGAGAGCACAATCTTACCTGTGCCATGTAAATAACCCTGGTGATATCCCTTCCGTCCACTACGTCAGGTTCCAGTATCCAAGCACTTGGCAAAATCTCCCCTCTCACGACTTCTTTACAAGGGTGAGGCATGGATGCGTCGTAGACAGACTGAACGGCCAGGACAGACAAGTTCTCCTGCATGTGCCAAAGTGTAAAGACGACAATTTGAAATTTTTTTTTATGAATATAGCAACGTGTTCTTTGTTTGCCAGCTAGCATACTTCTCATTACTGTCTTAAGAGTTCATATAATAAGAAATAATATTTATTTCACATGTTGTGAAATATTTTTTGTTAAATATTTTTTTTTCATAATCTTGGATGCTTGCAACCAGAAGATACTGTGTGACAGTTGTGCTACTGCCTGATGGGGCTAAGTTGACAAGCGCCATTCACAAGAGGTCTTTATACCTATTTCACTCATGTCAAATCAGCATCCTTTTCCTCCTATCGCACTGCCATTCCTGGGAGTGTGAGCGGGAATTTTCCTTCCTTCTCTGCTTTGTCCTCGAACCATGAGTTCAGAACATTTACTCCACCACGCTTCAGAGAGAAGGTTCACTTTACCTCTTTGGCTTCAACAGTGATGCAGCAAAAATCCCGGGGTTGCTTTAGGTAACACAGGGAGCTATCGGTCACCAAATACACTGTGAAAAAAACATCCAAAACAAAAAAAAAAGGAATTAGCCTTAACTTGTCACAATTTTTTCCCACCCCTTAAAGGCACACACTTATTTTAGTTTGACTTACTTATTGTTTCCTAAGAGCAGAGCTCTGGTTAATACACTATGTGTCATTAAGGTGCTTTTCCAAGCCACTTCAAATTTATTTTACTTTCAAACCACTGCCTCTAGCTGTACTTCTGCAGTGAGACATGTTTAATATTTTCCTTACGTTGGAAGTTCCCATATTAAATAATCAAATCGTTTATTCAGACATGAAGAAATTAGGTAAGATGCAAGTACTTAACGGTCGCCACCGCTGGAGGTGTAGATGTAAGATGCAGCACTTTGGGACATGGTTTAGTGGTCATGGTGGTGTTGGGTTGATGGTTGGACTTGATCTTAGAGGACTTCTCCAACCTTTATGATTCTGTGACTGTGATATTGGTGAGCAGTGGTTTGTGCCGATACTCACCCAGCTGGATGTGGCTGGTGACCTTCCTGTGCACGCGAGCGGTGTTGATGGTTCTGTCGTACAGGTGCCTTTTGCCGGGATCCCTCACCAGCCCCCAGACGCAGGGAAGAGGTCTTTCTATCACTCCTGCTCCCAGAAAGCCATGCTTCGTGGCTGAAGGGAAGACTTTGTAGTAAACCAGCACCTCTTTTTCTGTGCACTGATACCTGGCAAAGACAAATGAAAGGTGTTTGCACACAAATACATTGAAAAAAAAAGTACCTCCCATTATGAAGATCTTCCGTGAACTTACTTCCAACCAGCTGCTGCTTGGCGTGTGTAGAGATTCCTCAGGTTCTGAGAGCATGCTGCCATTACCTTAGGGAAAAAACAACAAATGCTCAGGTAAGAGAAAGGTGTGTAAACTATAAGCTGCATTCAGCTTTTACGTGGTGACTCTTCTACTCAGACCGCTAGGCTGGCTTGACCACAAATGCTAGTAATGCTCAGCAAGTATTAACAATTAAAAGTGTCCAGTGTGTGTAACTGCCAAATAAGGTAGCAATTGGCAGTGTAGAACAAGGCTTATCCCCACTCATTTTTAGTTACAACTTCCAGTAGGAGATAGAGGAGTAAGTGAAAACTGTATTTACTTACCTCAGTGGTAGCATTAGCCAAGATATGTTTGGATAAATCTTGGTATCCTTTTGCTGAAGCGGAGTTGACGGAAATAGTTAATCCATGGGTGAACCTACAGCTGATGCTACTAGAAGGAAGGGGTGGCTGAATTCTGCTGGCTTCTGTGGGAAATGGAAAAGAATAATAAAAATATAGGAAACCCACCATTATTATGCAGTTCTAGGGACTGAAACCCTCCATTGGAGCACGCAATCCACCTGATTGTGATGAAGGACTGATAACAGCCCTTGTCTACATGATCTGTGTATTGGCAATTACGTTGCAGTCACATCTTGCATTTTCTAGAGTTTAAATGTTTATTACTACACAAGCTAAAACCTAAAGAAGAAGAGGCAACATCAGTCTTGAGGATAAAAATAAGAACTTCCACATACAATCCTACACATATTGCAGCTTTAGCCTCCCTCTCCCACGTCCTTGGTTCATTCAAGGCATTACCCTTGTCACATCTCAGGACACTGTACTTTGATGTCACCACATCAAAATACAAACTTCAGAGGGACCAAATCGCCATTTACTTTTTTTCAAAAAATTCTAAGCAAGCGGTAGCTACTGTGGTTGGCAGTATCTTTTTTGAAATCATGTAACGGTAGGGAGATCCTCAGAATATCTAGAATCAAATTAGATTTTGATTTGCATAAATGACAAATCGCATTAGGCTTTGGGCCACAAATCGGACAGAAGCAGACGTGTTTCACTTACCAAATGCTGAATCCTGCTGTAGCTGCTCTAACACGTAAAGCTGACTGTTTCTAATAGCTGAACGACCTCGTGTATCTCTTGAAAGCAAAGCATTTCCAGAAGAAACCTGACATAAGAAAGAGCAGAAGTGGGAGCTTTCAGTGTGAACTGGGAAAAATAAGTTACATTACCTAGCAAATGGAGTATTTGTAGCGAATCTGCCTGTCGGAAGCTTCTCTTTATCATAAGGTAAATACTTTGCCCTTTTCCTGGTTGTGAAATGATACCTTGGCTCAGGAGATTTAGCAAACCAAGTGTGAGGAGCTAGCACGGGTGCATACTCCAAAAATCCAGGGAAGTTCATGGTGACACACACACACGAAGTCTTAAGTCAATGGATGCATCACTGAGGGAGGCACACGGACAGTATCAGGTTCTGGTTTAGCACAAGAAAGGGCTTATTGTTTCTAAACCATTTGACAGCAGCATTATAGATGTAAAACAGATGTTAGTATTGTCAGTGAGTTTATAAAAAAACACCACAACCTCCAAAACACAGAGGTGTCAATGTCCTTTGTGATTACATGGTAACGCTGCCTCCAGCGCCTCTGTACTGGTGACACAAACTTGTCCTGCTTGATAGCTGTGACAGAACATGAACCATCTCAAAAACTGTTCCCATTCTAACGCTCTGTTCTGTTCTTTGTCATTGCTGAAGCATCAGGACGCATCAGTCTCACCAGCCAATTTCTCACCTGTCCTTCCTGGCTGCTGAGGTTACTCGCGGTGTACGTAGCGGTATTACTGCTGTTGTAACCAGACGATGGGCCGGAGGAGAGGCTGAGGCTGGAGTCCGTACATAAAGTGCTTGTACTTGCCAGAGTCTTCAGCCTTGCTTCTTCCTGCAATAGGTATCACAGTGTTACAAACAAATGAAAAAAAAAACCCCTAACCACACAAAACTTACGTTGCAGAACAGCTAGTCAGATCAATGCCAACAGCACTGAAAGATGAAAGAGGAATAAGCTAAAGAAGCCCAATTCCTTTCAAGGAGTGTTGGCAGCACAAAAGCTGCTGCCGTACAGAAACAGGCTCGTTAGAAAGACTAAGATTATATAAGCCATAGAGCTTATATAAGCTTATATCACCCTGTAAAACCCGTCAGCCTGGGAAAATGCAGCTTCTGCTGTTGTTATTCTTCACATAGAATAGTCCAGGCTATTAAACCAATGCTAGGATGTTTTCAGGAGGAAAAATGCAAAACAAAAAAAAGGTATCTCTTCAGTGCCATTTGTTGCTCTTTGCCTGCTTCTCAAGTAGACCCTGACTTAAGTTGATGGTCAAATGTAGTTGTTAAAGACTAAAGATTTTACTTGAATCAATGCAACTACTCAATGCCAGCCCAAAAGAGGAAATAAAAATTACATAATAAGAGAATACTGAGAGCGTTGAGATGATTTATACGTTCAAGGGCAGTATTAATTGTGGTTTTCCAACTCAGGTGAAGTACGTCTGCATCTCACAAGAAAAATATGGGAGCAGCTGTGGCAAGACGTGTTCATCCAGTGGATGTGCCTGAATTTCAGGTGCCTTACAGGCTGCAGAGCAATAAAATAAGTGTTCACATTTTGCACCAGATACACACATAAGAGGAGAGGAGGTCTGCAGCTACAACTCAAGCTGCACTGTCAAACAGTGCCAAAGGTTACTGCATAAAAATACAGTCAGAAATTGGGCAGAAAAGACACATCCTAATGAGGTGTTATCCTTCCATCTGGGAGAAAAATGCACACACTTGGACTATACAAGATGCAAAGTGCAGAAGAAAAAAGTACAGGACAAATGCACACATGGAGGACAACCTAAAAAAAAAGACACAAAGGAAAAGAATAAAGGCCTTTGTGTTTAAGTACATGCTGAAATAAAGTCAGTTTACCTTAGCAAAACTCTTTCACAGACTGGGCAGACACTGCTTGATCCTGTGAGAAAACATTCAAGTTTCTCACACATAAAACGTGGCTTCAGGAAAATGCAGTTCAGAAGCATGAACAATACCAGTTCAGTACTACTGAGTATTTTAAGCACAATTTGCACTTAATTCTTTTGTTTTTCTACGCTGATGCATATCAAACAGGAGAATTCCTTAGCCATGATAAAGTTTCTTTTAAAAAGATGTGAATAATGCATAACAGTCTCCTGTGTAATGCTCACCTTCTGTAGCTGAGAGAATATTTGCTCCCGTATACGTCTCTTCTCTTGCTCAGCTCTCTCCCTCAGCTTGTCCCTAGCTCGTGCAATTTCAGTTTTAGTTTCCTCTCGTGCCCTCTGGTAGTCTCGGAGCAACAGTTCAATGTCTGAGGGATGCTGAATGCTCCTTCTTTTTGGTTCTTGAACTCTGTAAGGATAGGCAAGTGGGGAAAAACACGCAGTTACTTGTAATCAGGTCACCGGAAAAAATACCATGAGAAAATCACCTTTCAACATGCAACAGGAAAATTTGCCAGAAAACCAATCAAACGCTACCACATCAGCCTCCAAAAAGTTCCTCTTTGCTCACTAAATGCCGTATGGACATTAACATTGGAATATTCAAACTGCAAGTCCAGATTCCCAGTGAGGTCACTCCAGCAATTGTGCCGGTTTCTAAGTCAGCTCTCTGTGTGATCCAAAGTTACCACTTTGACATATCAGATGCAAAACAATTGTGTTGGGAAAATAACTGTCTCCTGACCTACCACCAGGGAAGCAAAAGTCATTTAGGGCAAGGGATGAGAAATTCAAATGGTAAAAGCTGAAGGTTCGCAGAACGTTTCTGATGTTTAACATGAAACTTAACTATTTCATGTGGCTTTTATGCTAATGAAGGAATCATAAAACAGATTTGTCATAACGAGTCAAGACTGAATACCTGGCTGTCCCATATACCAGACACATAAGTTAGATAGTTGTTACGGACTGAAATAAACCGGATGGAAGATTTTTAATGAACATTTTCTAAAATCAGGCACGCGTTTTTCCTGAAAGCACTTTCTATGCCAACGTTTGACACTTCTGCACCGAGAACTCCTCTGCCACAGAAGTCTCATGTATCAGTAAAAACCGTTGAGGTGAGCCCATCATGACACACTGCTAATGCATATCAGGCCAAAAGAGAGGTTTCTAATGCCCTACCTGGTATTTTCCACAACATCTCTTCTCAGCTGTTGCAGATATTCTCGGCGTCTGCTGGGGAGATCGGGATCCCTCTGATTTGCATCCAGCGTCTGCAACACACTGAAATGCTTTTGAGGACTCAGACTTCGGCTTCTTTGGTATCTTTGCAGCCTTTTTTCTCTTTCCTTCCTCAGAGTTTCAATAGCCCTCATGTGTCTGTCAGGGAAACACAATTAGTGTGACAAAAAGCACCCTCCAAAGTTGCATTTTCTCATTTTTTGAACCACTGAAATACTAGGTAGCTTTGTAACATAAAATTTACAAGAATCTAACACCACACACTCCCCTTGCAAATACCCCTTTGGCCACATGCTGACAGATAATGCAGAAATTCTAAAACTCCCCTGCTTTTTTATAGCAGTAGAAAATGTGTAAGAGGGTCTTAGTAACTGCCTGTAGTGACTGAGAGGCAAATTGAGGGCAGAGACTGATATAGCTATTCCTTATTAGTTTTAGTTACAAGAGCTTCCTAAGCTCAGTTCTGTAACCCAATCGCAAGAATCAGGATTTGATTTTTTGATTTTTTTTTGTGTGTATATTTATGATGTTTTTTAATTTGGTTTTGCACATCCATACAGCCTCACTTATTCACAGCAGCATGAACGAGATGTTTCCATAAACTGGATGTGTCAATTATTTCTACACTGCAATAAATCAATGAAATACACGCCCGTGATCACCAGCTACACATGATCACTCTCACAGCTGCTAGAAATTTTAAGAGTGGGATGACACTAGATTTGAGTTACACCAAACCTTACACTTTTTTTCTATTTTCTTAAAGTAACTCCAAAATTTTGTCTTAAACGCATATAAAATAATCTTAATAGTCTATCTTTTCATATACAGCGTGACTGAGCAATTAAGTGTTCATTACTAAATGTTACTTACGCAGCACGAAGCGTACGTGCACTGCATACAAAACGGTTCCTACAACACTAAGTAATTTACCTTTCATAAAGTTGCTGCTTCACTGGGATGGCCACCAGGTCATCTGTGGTTCCGCTCTGGAGGACCCTCAGCAGAGCGTCTGTTTCCCCGATGCCGTGATTGAGCTTGGCTTCGGCCAGTTCCACGGTGAGGGGGTGCTGATGCAGATCCAGGTGAACGCCAGACATGATCTGAGCCCGCTCTCTCTGAAGTCTCTCGATCTCCCTGCTCCTGCTGTCACAAAGCTGGGATTTCCCTTCCATTTCGGTCGCTCGCGTGCTCCTTGGGGTTTTTTCGGCCTGATTTGGTAAGTCGGTCACGCTGCCACTCAAGCTGAGTAAGGAAGGAGAAGGGCTGCCCTTAACACCGCACCAGTTGCTGAATTTATTGTGTACGGGTAAGTCACGGAGACTGTAGCTCCGAGGCCTGTAAGGCTTCGCAAAAGTAGTATTTTTGTTGAGTGGAATTTCAGTGTTGCATTCACTTTCAGTGACAGAATCTGTATTGTCATCTTGGAAAGAAGTTTGCACATCGCTCACATCAGAGAGCAGGGGAGGGCAGCTCTTGTTTTTCCAAAAGAAATCTTGAAATTGTAGAGAAGATGCGTCTACCAGAGATTCTGAGGACTTGCCCTTATTTGTCTTACTTGAACAAGCAGCACTCATTTTTTGATTAAAATGTATGTCAGCGTTTGGAGGCAAGTAGTTATGAACCAAAGCAGTATCAGAATTACCAACGTATTTCTTGTGTCCAATTCCAGCTGAAGAAGCCCTTCCTTCCCTCATGACACATGTACAACGAAGCAAAGGTGCCGGTGAACCATGCTCTCCGAAATCACCTGTTAAACCTTCCCTGTGGCCTGACACCTCCAACATGCTACTGGAGTGATACAGTCGTTTCACGCCAACGGTAGCGTGGGTGTCACCCGTGAGTCTACGCTCTTGTTCTAAGTCTTTTGAACCATCCTGTCCTAAAGTTTCTTTCTTCTCTGAGAAACTTCCAGACTTCTTTCTTATGCCCTTGTATTCTCTAGAAGCTCTAGATTCACCGTCTGGTTCTGTCTGTGAAAAATTGTCCACATGAGGTTGCGTGCTGGACTGTGGACCAGCCCTTTGCTTTCTCTGGCTGTGAGGGGGACTCAAAGAACCACTGGGACATCCAGGAGGCTCCTTACCAGGGCAGGTAGACTTGCTAGAAGCAGTCTGGCTGCTGGGACTAGCACTAAGAGTAAGAATAGGAGAAGAGGCCCTATCAACTAGCAGGGTGTTTTTGTAATAAAATTTTCTTTCCAATGGAACCTCTAGTTCACTGACGCTTCTTTTATCCTGCACGTAAGATGCCGGAGATTGAGAGGTGCCATTAGTAGGGCTGCTGACTACAGTGCATGAAGAACTGTCTTGCCCTGAACTCAGCAACGATGATGTGACAGATGAAACTCCGGTACCAGCAAAAGCAACATTGTGCTGTTGTGCAATTAATGTTTTCTGAAAATCTAAGATAGTGGTGGAAGTTCTGGGCAAGGGAGGCAGACGCATAAAGGAGTCTTCCAAAATGCTGTCAAGACTGTCATGGAAGTCAAGACTGCCTGGATTTCTCATCCCTGTTTGTTCTTGTGTTCTTCCTTCAACAGGGAATGTTTCCTCTTTCCTTTTGGGAATCTTACCTGCTGCATCGGCACCTATTCCTTTCCAATCAACATTTACTGCCTGAGCTGCTCTCAATTCACTTCCTATTTTTGCATCCACTGTTTTCTCTTCATGTTTGCTTGGAGATTCTTCCAAAATCTCTGTCTGAGTGCCTACATCTGCTGTAGTCTGCGTGCAGCTATCTGTCCTAGTAGCCTTTACAGCCTCTTCAGTTCCTCTTTGGTTGATTTTGGCATTCTGCTCATTATCTAAGACACTCTGTTGGGAAAGGTTTCCCAACAGCTCAGAAGTGTTCTGGAGAAGCTGTGATAGGTGCATGGACAGGTTCTGCATGCTTGTCCAAGAAGAAGGTTGATGAAATAAATCTCTGTTTGTTTCCTGCTTTCTTGCAGAAACATCCGTGTAGCTTCTCTGATGTCTTCTCTGCCTTTTATACCTTCCTGTAGTTATTGTTTGTGTTCCCTGCTCACATGTGATCCCTGGTAGTTTTTTGGAAGACCTTTCCGACTCAGAAGGATATAATAGTACAATTTCATCAACCTGCACTGTGGAGTTACCAGGTTGTACAGAAGGATTCTCAAATTCAACAGTGTTATTTTCGGGATTAGTTCTCATCGTTTCACTGGATACGTTGCTACATTGCTTGGTACTTGAGTATGCACCTGAGTATGCAGACCGAAAGTCTTGTCTGACACTGTCCCATCCTTGAAGACCTTCAAGGCTGCTTAAGGTGCTTGATAAAACTTTTGCTGTGGCATATGAACTAAGATGAGAATGAAAAGGAGAATTCTGAGAGTTCAGTCCATTGTCTACACTGGAACATCTCATAACTTTACGATTTTCCAGGTTTAAAGGAATTTGATTGCAAGAGACATCACTTGCACTTCCAAAAACATACTGTTTCCATCCAATCTTGCACGATACATCTCTCTGCCATGGATGAATATATGGGTTGATATCACTTGAACTAAAATGCATTGTATCTTTACTGTCTTGCAAAAATAAATCTGTTTCTGGCTGGCATCCAGCTTCTTCAACCTTCCCTTCACTGCACTGAGCTACAGAACCAACGTTTGCTTCTGCACTCACAGAACTGCGAGCTGTGTGCAGTAAGGATGAGGGAGACTGAGTAACAGAGTCTTTTAAAGACTGGCTGCTTTGGGTTCTTGCTGCAAAGTTTTGTAAATTTTGGAGATCACAGTTTGCAAGCTTCTTAGTGGGTGTCAATCTCTGCTGCGATCTGGGTTCCAATTTAACCTGTAGAAAGCTTTTTGACTCCTGCTTTGAAAATCTTTCTATCCCGTAAAGATCATCTTCAGTTGGTGATGGAGGTTCTACACTCATATTTAAATCTTGTAGTGATTTAGATGCAAAATATAACAAAGGATCTGCCTTAGATGAAGCCTCCAAAGTGCACTCTGTGTCAGAGAAGATAGCAATAGCTGGGGCTGACAGTCTGTGACTTTGTAAATAAGGTCCGTGTTCACTTCGTTTACAGCTCTTTGTATTCCGTGTAGTAAAGTATGGTCTTTTGCTCCCGAGTTGCATCAATTTGGATTCTTCAGGGGGCAAATCACAGTTTTCTGGTAAAAACTTTATGGAGGTACCTTCATTATATATTACAGAAAACTTTAGTCTTTCTGATTTCAGGGTCTTATTCCTCATTATAGCGTCTCCCACTGTTGAACAACTGCCTGCATCAGCATCAACAGCAGGGCCATCAGTGCTTGAACCTCCATCATTTTTGCAAAGTAAAATCTCTTTTCTACCATCTTTATTTACTCTATCTGGCACCTGTTCTATCTGTTCACCTGCGGGCACAAACTGACTACCTTGCAGATCTTCAGGGCCTTTTTCAAAACCCGAGACAGTGTGATACAGCCGTCTGGGATCCGTGCTTCTGCTGTGTGTGGGATATGTTGGACTAAATGAACTGCGGGCACATTCAGGATCCACATCTACACCTCCTGGATACAGGTTTGCCAACACCCTAACTTCTGAGCCTATTAATTCATTTACAGAATTTGAGGATACGTTAGTTTGTTTTTCAACAGATTCACTACTTAATGTTTTTCTCTGCTCTGTCGTTACGGCGAAATGTTCAGACTCAGTATTTGAATGCAGCTCTTGCTCATTTCCATTAAGCATTTTTCTCTTTTGACCCTCTTTAACAAGAATTGCCCTGCCAGTTTTCCAAAAAGGTAGTGATGGCAATAAAAGACAATTATCATTCTCTGTGTGTTCAGTGCAAGCTTCTTGTGGTGGAACTTTACCCCAGTAGTGCTGATCAACTTTTACATCGTTGTCAAATTCTTTACGATTACTTTCATATACAGGTTCCCTATCTAGAGCAGAATTTTTATATGAAGTAGAGTCTGTGTCTGATACTGGACAATGCCTGTTCTCTTTTGCAAGTGAAAGTAAAATACTTCCTGAAGCACGTATGGGCTCATCGAACACCACAGCCTTATCAGACTGAGTGTCTTGTATTTGCAAAACAGCAACTGGAGAGTGGTTCAATATACCTGTATGTGAAATATCGTATGTGCCAGTTTCACCACGGCCCGTATCTTCAGCTAAAGAAGATGCTGAAAATGGTCTTAAGGATGGGTGAGTGACACTTGCAAACACTTGGGGAAAATCTCCTCCTTTGGCAGAGTGCACGTCTGCAGAATGGGAGGACACCTGCTCAGTCAAAAACGTGTCTTGAAGTGAGTCCTCAAGCTGTCTACATATTAGAGACTTTGAGCCATCGGGCAAACAAGACACATCAAAAGCAGTGAAGCTTTGAAATGGTGTCTCAGCTGGAGCAGCTTCTGCAAAGTAGCATGGAAGAGACTTTAATTGATTACTGCCAGTCTGTCTTTGGCTCTCAAAGGTAAGCGTGCCCAGTTCTGGTACAGTCACACTAGAAGTGTTACTGTAGTGTTCGGAGAACTTGTGAATTTCATCTTCTTTCATGTCATTGCAATTCTGGAAAGAACCTTGAATTATTTTCTCCTTTTGATCTGTTCCCACAACTTTTTCAGGAAGTTTGTTATTCTGAGCATACGTGGCCTCTGCAACTGCAGAATTCTTTTTCCTTTCATCTCCTTTTAGAGAAACATTAGGAAAAGTTACAGATACACTTAAATCAGTTGATTCACTTTCAAAGTATTTCATTTCCTCAGAGAGAACAGCATCGTTGTTAGCATTGTCTCTCTTGCTGGCAATCAAAACATCTGCAGATGATGCTGGATGATTCAGGAGACCAGAAGAACATTCAGAAGTGCCTGAGTTCCTACTATAATTTAGAAACTCTTTACTATAATGTGGATTTTCCCATGGAGACTTGCTGAGGCCTTCTGAAAGGGGTGAAGCATTCTCAGAAACAGTGCTGCCTGGCTGGTCTATGCAGCTCTCCTCAGAAGTCCTATGTACTTGATTTTCTCTGGGCTCACACTGATATCCAGCTACACCTGGAAATTTTGCACTTTCATTTTTACTGTTCGCTGTTGCAGTATAGCTTGTGCTTAAAAATTTCTCCTTCTCGTCACGCTGTGATAAACTCCCTGAGCGAAGTACTTTCTGAGTTGTGTTAATACTGGGAAACATTTTTTGCAAAGAGATTTCTAGTAAAGAGTGTATTTGCTGCCTCCCTGTATCTTCCATCACTTCTTTCTCTGATGAAGGCAGTAGGTTTGAATCACCCAAGAGCAGTGAATTAGACACAGTGGTACCCTTTTCCTCTTGAGTTGTATCTTCAATGGAAATAAGGCAGTCTTTTGATAGATTATTAGCCATTAAATCCATACTGTGTTCTTCACAACTGTTGTTAGCATCCTGAATTGTATCTTCAGAAGAATCTAATTTTTCCAAGGAAAATGATTCTCCTTTGGCCCTTTGCTGAAGCACAACAGGTTTGGACTCGGAACCACCTGCACTGTAGGGAGTGGAAGAGCTGTTCTCATCAACAGGTTGCCCAGATACAGCACAACCAGGCATGTTTTTAAATACAAAGGATTCTTCCTCCTGCCAGTCCTGCGTGACCCTGGTTTGCTGAAAAGCGACGTTCTTACTTTGTGTTTTATCAGAAAGGTATCTGTCTTCTCCCATTTTGTTGATTTTAACAGGCACACCAACACAGACCTCACTCTCCATTAACGTTTCATAGTAAGGCAGAACAGCTCCAGTCCTGACACTGCTGTTAGACAGTTCTTTCAATGCAGTAGGAACATCTTGAAGAAGATGGGAATCGTCACTTACTCCAGGGTATAAAAGTTGATTTACAGACTGGCATGGAGCAACTTTAAGTGAACCTTCTTGGTTTTTTTCAGCAGACTTCAGTGTTGCTGGTGGATTTCGTTGCTTGTTGATCTCTTCATTGTTAGAAAAACTCGTAGACACCCACTGGCTTTCTCTTAGGATTTCATTTAATCTGCTGTCATTATGTGTCATTTGGCAGCTGCCTTTGTTTTCAGGAAATAGTTCATCCAGGTTTTGTAAAACGATCACTTCTACTTCCTCCATGTTTTCTACAAACACCTGCTTTTCTTTGTCTTTGGTCATTTGTAGTAGACTCATCAAATGTGCTTTCTCCTCCTCAGCACTGGAGCGTACTGGATCGAATTCACAAATATCAAGTCTTTTTCTAACAGTACTTACATTCAAGCTTTCTGAAGTGCCACGCTCAGGATATTGCATAGAGCAACTCATGTACGTATGGCTGTCCTCTTTAATGTGGAGACTTTTAATTTCTTGTTCAGCTCCATGTTGGTCAATACCAGTACTATCATCAGCTGAATATTGACATGCATCGATATCACTCATGACTACATTTCTTGCATCTGTAACAGAGGCCACCAAGCCATCATCTTCACTCATTTCAGTAGGATCATTGTATCTTGAATCATCTTCTAACAGTATATTCTGTTCTAGTCCTGAAGCTGTCAGGTATCTTTCAGGGATCTTATGTTGATTTAAAATTTCCTCTTCATCATCTCTCTCACCACACACCTGATCTAGAGCTGGAGGCTCTTCAGTAAATGAAATATTTTCATCTGCACATATTACTTCTTGCGTTGTAATCATCGGCCCCTCAGTTTTGGTCATGATAATTGGCTCTTCATTCCCAGTCACTTCACTTTCACCAACCTTGTCTTCCCGAGGCAAATGGTTTGGTAGACAATGTTCAATTAAATTGCTGAAATTTACTTGTCCTTCATTTTCAGATTTTGCTAATGTATTTCCTTGCTCACTTGTGATTAGCGCTGTGGCAGCTACATCCTCTGTACTATACACATTTTCTGTTGTTCTGTTCATCTGTAAAAGCCCCTCACAAGTATCAATGAAGCTGGAAAAATTCTGAGTAGCATTTGGTGTGTGAGAACACACTGCCGATGGAGAGGTTTGGGGAGCCACAGGAAACTCTAGTGAATAAATACCGATTTCTATTTTCTCATTTTTTTCTTTTTGGCAAAAGCTGCTTGTTTCAAGTCGACTGCCAGAATGCATGAGTGCTTTCAATTCCTGAGCGTGTTCTACCCTGGTGCTGGCTACCTGCAGTTCATCCTTCTCCCCCTCTTCGCACGTCAGGCACAGATTTGCGTAAAACTCACCCTTCATTTCACAAGCTACGCTATCAATAGGTTTCTTTGGATTCTGAGACCAACTAATGCCTTTAAAATCCTCTCTACTCCTGTCTTCAGTTACACTTTGGACTTGGGCTGCTTCGTAGTCAGGTAAGCTTTCAACCTGTCTGGATTTATTTTCCAATCCATTTTTTTCTAAGTTGATTGCATTATTGATCAATTCTGTTATTTGTTCATCAGTGTCTGCTTTTGTATTCTGATAAGGAGCCATAGTTTCTTTTGGATCAGTTTCTGGGTTTCTTAAAAACTTGGACTCTTTATTTATGTACAGACTCTCCTCTTGAGAAACAGACGCTGATGTATTTGTACTGCATTCAAATACTCTTCCTGACTCTGAATTTACACTATCTTCAACAGGCAAGATATTATCTGGGCAATCACTTTCAAAAAACTCTTCCTCTTCCTCTCTTGATTCAAGTAAAGATTTGTTCTGCATTCGTGTTTCCAAGAGAATGGTTGCATCAAATTCCACAGAAATATTGGTCGTCTTATGTGTACGGTTCTTCTGCCCCATTGATTTTGAAGAGCACATTGTGCAGAGGCAGCCAGAATGTGCATCAGAACAACTTTCTGTGGCACTGACTTCTACAGTAAGATTAGAGGTAGCATCGCAATCTCCTTTCGCTCTCGTGACATGCTCCAATAGTTTATCACCATTTTCAGACTCAGACGCACTTTGAAAAAGGTTAGCCTTTGCTGAAGATTTGTAAAATATGCTTGAACTGGATTCTGGGAGAAGGTCATTTGTACTGTCACAAACAGCAGCAGTGTCTTTCCCATCTGCATCCACTATGAGATAACTTACTTCATTTACCGCTAAGTTTTCATGTTTGGATGAAAATTCTTTCTGAACTATGGCCTGAGAATTCAAGACATTGTGTTCTTTGCTTTCACTGCTTTCTTCTCTTATGTTATCAATGCATAATGTAGAATTTTCTGAAATTTGCGCGGATAAGCAACTTGCCTGACTGTCTGCTGGATCACATTCGTAGGAATAATGTTTTGAAAGAGGTTTGCTTTTGAATTCATAACAATTCAGTGAAGACAAGTCTTTATCCTTTGGTTCGGGTTCTTCATCATCTCTGAATGAAGGCACCTCTGGCACAATCTCTGCCAAGCTATCTGTGCTTATTTCCATACAGACAGCAGCCTCTTTTTGAGACATCTCTATTGGTGTTGCAGATTGGTCGTAACTCACACTGTGAGCATCAATTAAAGGGTTACATCGATACATTGTCTTCTGTGAAGAAAAATCCATCTCCGCTATTTCTTCTGCAGGTACTTGTCTGTAATCTGTTTCTTGCATTGTTTCCAAGTTACTCTCCCCAGATCTGAGAAGACCTACAGTAACAATTGATTCTGCTCCTTGTCCGGCCAATGTCTGAAGCTCGTAATTAGTTACTAAAGAGCAGTTCTTATCTGTTAGGTCACTGAGAAAGAAACCTTCATCACAACATGCTGGTATTTCCCTCCTTGGAAAAAGCTGCACGTGATTTCCAAATTGGGCCTGTTTTAGTGCAGATGTCTCTGTTGAGGTCATATTATGAGCAAGTTCTGCAGAAGATTCGGCAGCAGGTGCACTGACAGAGGCACTTCCTCTGCCTGAATCTGTCAGGCTTGATTCTGTCATCAAGTTATTGTGGTCACTGAGGTCATCTTTTTCAAACATTCTGAAGAAATCATCTTCTAAATCTGCATCTACACAGCCATTTCTCTGCTCCAAAATTTGCACAGGCAACACAGAAATAGAAGGTGTTTTTTGCAGATCTTTCGGCAGCTCTGGGTGACTCAGGGGGAGAGAATCCTCCCCTTTCCTAGATACCAGTGACAAGTGGTCTGTGGTGGAGGCGCTTTCCAAACAACTGAATATTTGTGTCCATTCAGTGGTAGACCTATAAGTAGATAATTCATTTAGTTGTTCTTGTTCAGGATGATTTGACCTTGAACGTTCATAATAATCATGCTTTGCTGAAACAGGAACAAAAGAGGAGCTTGGTCCTACTGAGCTGACAAATGAGGACATTGCATCTTGAGATTCCAAAGAAAAATTTTCACTAGAGTTTGTCCATCCCTTAAGAATCTTATTTAATGATCCACTCTCAGAAACTCTGCTTGCAGTTGTTGTTGTTTCAGGTAACGGTACTTCTGAGGCGCCAGAGGACACAACTGTGTTTATTTTGCCTATGTGATGTGATGAACGAGTAATGCTGTGTATCTGCTTAGAGCCAGAAACAAAAGAAACTTCAGCAGCTGACTGCTTTAGATCATCCTTCTTCAGCCAAAGCCCTGGTTTGCTTGAAGAGCACAGATGAGCTTCTTGAAACTCCACATTTTCATGGGAAGAAGGTGCTATTACTCTGGGACTGCTGATGTCAACCTTCAACTCACAGGAAGACCAAGCATCAGTAGCAAGCAAAGGATTTCTGCTTGAGTAATACAGTCTTCTGTCAAGAGATCTTTCTTGTTCTACAAAGGAGACTTCGGTCCCCTTCAGCAACTGCCTGCAAGCATTACTGGAAGCGGGATGTGGTTTGGTGTCCAAATAAAAGGAACTGCTCAGCTTCAGACCACAGTTTGTCCTTTCTGTATCTCTGTCACAGGCCCTGAACTCATGGTGCTCCTCAGTCTGTATAGCTGGCGATCTAGGTGTTTGTAACTTCCAAAAAATCTCTGCTGGCACTTCATCAGATGAATCAGATTTGGATTCTTCTACCAGATCTTCTGCTGGCATCTCTTCTCCATCAGCTAAGCTGTCCAGAGAAAAGCTTCTTTCAGGCTTTCCCAGTCTCCTATGAGATGCATATGATGTCAACAAAGATGAAGTATGGTGATCAGTTCTGCTTTGGTAAAGCTTAGTTGGTTCGTGGTGGGCCTTTGACTCATGAAATGGGCTTTTATTTTGCTTTTTGGCCTTATTTTCCTTTTCTGCCAGAGAGTCTTGTGACATTTGACTGTCATCGCTCTCAGAGTCCTCTGGGTTGGCAAGGCATTTATTTCTGTCAAAATCTTGTTTCGGTTTCTCTGTGAAAGCTTTTGCATAAGCGCAGGAGAGAGAATCTACAGAATAGGAACTGTCAGTATCAGAAATCTCATTTTCCTCATCCTCTTGCCAGTTCCCCAGGACATCCGTAGCTGTTTTGGACACTCCAGCATTTAGCATCTCAGCACTGTGCCACTTTTTTTCAACGTAAGAGAGTGGTGACTGAGTGTTCACCTTAGTGAGATTTCCTACTGATGTTGCCACCATCAGAAATTCTTGCTGTTCCGCGGATGATTTCTCACGGCTTGGTAAGGCTGAGTTTGGCTCTCTCTTCCAGTTCTTGGCTGTTTGGTTTAGCTGCACTGACTGTGCATTTCCATACACTGTTTTCTTCATTTCTTTAGGAAACTTTTCTGGAGAAGACTTATGGCCTTTTCCATTGATATCCATTCTAGTCTTTTTATTGGAAACCTGAGCTCTGCTTTGTTCTAGATTGCTACTTGAAGGTTGACTTAAATCTCCTAGCACCTTGACTTTTGTCATTCTTGACCCTGTAATAAAGGTTTCAGGCTCATCTTTCTCCTTAAAAAGATCAGGAGAGGAGCCTTTCGAGGTCTGGTTTGGAGATCCAGTTTGCCCTGGGTTGTCATCCAACTTTTCAATTTTTTTACCATCTTTATTGATATAAGCCATGACAGCTGAATCATTAGAGTCTTTTCCCACTCCTTTTGTATTTCCAAATGAAGATGTTCTTTGTTTTTCAGTTAGCTGCCTCTGGATGGAAAAGGAGATGCCTTTTTCATCAGTAATGTCATCAATCCCAGAAACATCTTTACCTCTTTTGTAAAGATACTCTACAGATGACAACCTCTCTGTTGTACTTTCTTCACAGCATTGATCAGTATTTGGTGAGGTAGATAACTTTGGTACGGTCTCCCTCTTCAACAAACAGCTGTGAAAATAAAGAAGAAATAAAGCCCAATCATTGCTTGAATAATGTCCTTAACAATGCTTCTGCATTAGTAATGTCTTGTAGCCAAGAATAAAAACAACACATCAAAAACAAATCAATGCCTTCCAAAAACAAATTCTAGCAGAGAATTAAAAAAAAAAACCCACACCAAAAACCCCTCAAACCTGTCAGTAACCCTACAGTTCCCCAGATATCCGGAAATATGTTCTACAACACAAAGGAAGAGCTCTATGCTACACCGTATAGCTTGGTGATTACTCTCTGTAGGCTCAAGTAGCTGCAAACAGTTAAAAATAAAGGATGGTTCTAAGTCACAAAAATCCACTTAGAGTTTAGCTATCGCCTGCCTCCAGGACCATGATGTGATACACACCCTAGCACCCCAACCTTTTAGCATTGCGTAGAGATCTTTATTTAGCTTGAGAAAGGCTGGCCAACTTAAAAGTCCAATCCAGAACCACCCCAATGATACAAATATTCTGAAGGACAAGTTTGACCCTAATCAAGAAAAAGTGATGCAGAAATTACTATTCATCAACAGTTTGAACAACGTAAGAAGAGGAGTTAATTCAGCTCTGGAAAGCATTCACAAAGAGGTAAAAAGTCCAGACAAGCTTGAGAGAGAAATGTGTAGAACAGTGAGAAAGAGCTAAGCATGGAAATGTACTGTACACATCCATGGAAAAAGAATAAGCAGCTCCAGTGTGACCTACAATATAGTAAGTTCACCAATATTGCAAGTTTTGGGATTGTTTCAATACATTGAAAGGCATTCTGGATTCTAGATGGCCACTGAAAATACTTTGAATTTAAAATACTTTTGAAAGTGCAGAGGGATTGGCAGATGTTAACTTACCTGGGTACCTGGGACAGATGTGGGCTACACAACAAATGTTGCCTGTGCTGCAAGGAACTTGAATCCAATGACTTCCTTCTCTTTTGCAACTGGTGATCCGAAGAGGACCGTACAGCAGTATTTTCATTTAGGACTTGGGACTGTTTCACACACTCTTCACTGAGACAGCAGCTAGCTTCCAGCTGCTCTAGGTTCTGCTTGGCTTCCAGTAATTTCTGCTTCTTGACTATCCTTTCTAGCTGGAATTTGACCTTCTTCCGCCTTATGTTTCTTTCTGCTTTTTTTAGGGAGTATCTTCGCAAGAGCTCCAGCTGCACCAGTCTCTTCTTGTTCTGCTGTAGCAGGGAAGGGCAGATTTCCAGCCCGATGGTACTCTGTACCTCAGCCTCTGCATACAACGTGGACTCTGTTTGCACTGCAAACTCCCTTTGCTGTTGCTGAAGGGCAGCCAGTCGTTTATTCTCATTTATAAGCCACTGCTGGTCTGCAAACAAGACAATGATTCAAAGAATGTAAAAATCATAGGGAAAACATTGTTCGTTACTATCCAGTTAAATTTTGTCAGCCTTGAGAGCTCATCTGAGAACAGAATTTCTATGGATGTATGACAGAGTCTTGAAAAATCATTTAGAGAAAAACATATCATTGCTGCATTTTATTGATAACTGAAAGCCTCTCCATTGGAATAAGGACTCAGGTAACGACTGCAAGATATAAGCAGGAGGTTGGCTGACACAGCTAAGGAGAATGGTGGATAAGACCTTGTCTGTAAGCAAGACGCAGAACGTATTTCAATTTTTCAGACATTACACTCAAACAACACTTCAATTTTGTCATTAAAATACAGTGGAAGCATTAAAAGGCCTCAGTTCAATACTGTGCACTTTTCAGACATAGGGTATATATTCACAGTAATGAAGCATGACTTCATTAGTTTTTTTACTATGAAATAGGCTACTACTACTACTTTAGTTTTTCTGAAGTCACATACTAAACTTCATATGTGTTACCTAGAGCAATGAAGGTATGTGCACTGACAGCAGCGTTAGCAAAGGAACTAGAAGAGGAAGTTGTACAGAGCTAAACAGAGCCTCTCTGTTAATGCAGCAAGTGGATTTGCATGCACACACTAATGAGCCTTTGGCTAATAAATTTCTACATTCCGAGTGAAAAAATAAGCACTAGTGTGATTTTAAAACATTAGTGACTTCTTATCACAGCATTTGAGTGTTTCACAACTATTCTAAAACAAACACTGGTGGCAAATTCAGTAAGCCTGAAGATTAGACCTCTCTACACTGGAGTGTACAGACTAGATCTCTGGAGTGTAGAGACTAGACCTCCCTACATTCAAAACCCAGGTGAGTTCTGAATGTTCTGGAGACATTCAAAACCTGCCTGGACATGTTCCTGTGTGACACACTTTGGCAGAGGGGTTGTACTGGCTCTATATATTATGTCTGGTTGAGAGGTGTCCCTGCCCATGACAGGGAGGTTGGATTAAATGATCTCTAAGGTCCCTTCCAACCTAGGCCATTCTATGACTCTATGACTAGGAGGTCCCTTCTAACTCCTAACACTCTGTGATTCTGTGGTACGCCCCAGTTGGGATATGTCTCATTTACAGGGGCAGCTGCCGGCTACCCCTGTGGACGGGCACGCAACCTTCAAAGTGGGCAGAAGACCAGGCTACAAGGAAGCCACCACAGTTCTGCCCACCTTTCTAAACCCATCAGATGGAAACTTGCCAAGCAACCCGAACCCTGTGTGGCATCTGGCTGAGGTAGAAGAACAACCACAAATTCACTACCTGTTGCAACTATGGTTGCTCCAACGAGTGCTTGTCAAAACAGCCTGACGGAAGCCCCCATACCTTGCACACGAACACTTCAGCATGTACTTGAAATAAACCTAATACTTTCATGGCAAGGATGCAGGTGAAGCCAACACAACCCTGAGCTATCAGGACGAACATAATTCAGAGAAGACAAGCTCATACCACCCTTTTTTCATAAAATCATCACTCCACAGAGAGAGTTATCTTCTCTGCTTTTGTTAATGTACCCCATATTTCATACGTTCTACATATGTGCATAAACCACCCAATTAATTTGATAATAAAATGCTTACACATTTAGTCTTCTCTAAATATTCAGGACCTGATCTTTGCAGTCAATGAGGAAGCAGAAGAGAACACAGAACACCAGGCTCATTTGGTTTTAACCCTGGATGCAAGACTATTTTATTCCACAAGGGAGATTTACCTAGAGGTTTTTCAGAGTGCACTGGCTTAAATCTGAGCTATGATGAACTGTAATAATTTTTAAAAGGGATTACCGGATCACCACTACCAGATTGCGTCTGATGGCTTGGACATATTGTCTTAACGAAACAGAGTTAGTTCACTTTTATGCTGCTATAAAAATCTAGATATTCAGATAGAGAAAGCAAACAAAACCTATTTTTAGCTGAAAAATCATAGGTTGCTTGACAAGTAGAGCATTTCTCAAAATACCAAATCTTTTCAAAGCACTTCTGTCTTACTAGCAGCAACACTTTTTTGGCTGGGCTTACCTTCGATCTGCAGTCCTTTATGGAATAAGCAACCTTCCATTGCTTATTCAGGGGATTATGAATTAAGAGGTATTAAGTCTCATGTGATGAACGAGGGCTACCCACAGCTCTGCACAGCAGAGCTGCAAGAGAGGAATTTTGGGCCATGAAAGTTTCCCTAACGTAAGAAATCATTAGTGTGTAGGCACTGTCAGCATCACTTGCTTGGTGACTACTTGTTAAACATATGTCATTAGTGATCCTGCCACAATGAGTCTTCTGCCCTGTTTATGTTGGCAGCTCTGCACACAGCACAGAAGCTGAAATTCTAAATCGATGGTTACTCTGTTGATAAAAGGGAAGCATTTTAGTGCTTATTTTAGTAAATATTTCTTAATAATATTTTTAACTTCCACGTACAAAGGTGTTTTTCTACTTCCAGATCTCTTCTCTCTTGTACATGTTTCCAGCAAGGAGAATATTTGGCAGATAAGAGTTTCCCTGCAACAGAGCTGCAAGCTCTGAGCTGCTAATTAATGTCTGCTCACAAACTTGCCTCTATCAGCAGCTGAGACCCAGAGGGCGCAGAAAAGGTGGAGAACTCTGGTGTGTTGCCAAGTGAGGAATTGTATTTGGCTGGCAAAAACTACCTGCCTGGCTAAGCTTTGCAAAAACACAGCAAAAACAGAACTAGATTGAAGCAGAGAACGAGTCTACGGGGCCACAAAATTAAGATATTCTGGGAGAACTCCCTGGGTTATCTGTACTATCTGTGTATCTTAAGTCCATTTCTGCTATACCCTGTCACAACAACTGCCTTTTAATCTCTTCATTGTGGCATAATTAAAAGATAGCAGACTGCATAAGTTTGGGTCTGAGAAGCTCCCAAAAATTCCCATAAGTTTTCCTCTTCCAGGAACCAATAGCAGGTTTTGCTGAGATGGAACGGTGCCTTTATAATAGGCATATTTTTCTTATCAAGAAACCTGGATAATAAAGACTAAAGAACACTATATCTAATTTCTGTGGGCTGCTTTCTATCACATCATCCCCCAACCTGTGTTGATAACGAGGATTGCCCCAACCCAGGTGCAGGACTTTGCACTTGGCCTTTTTGAACCTCATGATTTTGCTACATCATCAATGAAACGAGTAAACAGAGTACCTCGACTGACACACATCACTGTCTTGGAAGTGCTGCTTGGTTCCTAACACATCCTGTTGTTGGAACAGTTTCCACTGAAAGCTTATGGTAGGAACTACCAGAGTCATATCGATTTCAAGCTCCCAAAATAACTCATTGGATGAAGGGCAGATACATCACAAGAAAAACTTAACACCCAATAGCAGGCTCAGTCCATACTGCAACACGGCAGCATTGCTCTACAGACAGGAGCAGAGCACAACTGCGGGGAGGCAGAACAGGGAGCAGCTTGGGAGACGCAGGCTCAGTGCCACAGGGGAGTAACACGCTGGTGCTGCCTCTCCAGCCGTGACCTGCAGAGCTAATTAAACAGCAGAACTGCTGGTGCACTGCAAAGGAGGCCCTTTAGTCCTGTTAATCAAAGCTTAGTAACTGCTCTCAAGGGAAAGGCAATTATAACAGAAAACTGGTAATAAGCCACAATAAAAGTTCTACCCGCAACATAAAGCATAATTAGGACAAAACCATCAACAGAATGAAAGAATGCAGTAATGGAAGGGAAGTGAGAGAGGGGAAGAGGCAGGTACCCACTTTCTTGGATCTGCTGGTCGATTAGCGCTTGGTCATTTTCTAGCTCCTGCTCTGCTTTGATCTGTCCTCTCAGGATCTGCTGCTTTAAATCCTCAACATAGAGCTGCTGCCGTTGAATTTGTTTTCTGTGGAAGGCCTCCTGGTCTCTCAGTTTCTGCTCATACTCCTCATGCACAGCATCTATTTCTCTGCTGTTAGAAATGTTGACAGTGAGTTTAAACTGAAAATGAATGCCAATTACTTGTAACAAAACAAGTGATCTGACTAAAACCAGACAGACGACATTCAAGATCTTGTGTTGAATACGAGTGCATTATGACAAAAACTCGCGATGGCAAAGCAGCTGTGTACATGCATGTCACGGCAGGCTGTGATCCCCTAAGTATCATAAATGCCAGCAAACACGAAAGCTCTCATGAACCAGAAAATCCCATCATCAGAAAGATAATAGCAAAATTAAAATACCATCATTTTTCATCTTACTGTAGATCCCTAAAAAGTGAAATTGAGGAGTGATATGGTTTATATGCTATAAAATTTTATAACCATTATATAGGATATTTGTCATCTAAGTTCTTCAAAGTGCTTTATGGAAATGACGAACATTCTTCTCCATTTTCAGATCAAAAATCCCCTGCCTAGAAATGGTTTCAGGCATTGCTGAGATTACAGTCTCTGGCACTACCAGAGAAAGAACTTGATCACCCAATTCTCTGTTGGGTGCAACAACTCTATTAGGTTACTGCAGAATTGCGATCAGAAAAGTGACTAACCTGTGAAAAATTGCCTTATAGTTCCCTCTGAGATCTTTGGTTCCTGACTGCGTGCTAAAATTTCACACATGCGCACACACAGAGTAACAATCAAAACAGTATATATTCTTTGCAGGAATACAAAAGCACCCTCAAAATATATATTCCTTTCAGAGGGTTAATGTATTCTACCTGTGCACACATCATAAGCAGCAATTCTTAATGTTAAAGTTGTATTATATATAAGGGTGACATATGATCTTCGCCTGTCGTTTTGTTTCTAACCACATCACTATAGGTAACCTCAGAAAATTAAACCTTCAAGTCTCAAAAAAAATGTTGTAATGTATTTTACTAATGAAGTGCTGTATTTATTATTATGATGCATTTATTACACTTCTAAAGAAAGCAAAAGTATGAAAGCTCTAAAGAGTCCCTGAAGGTCAAAAGAAAACAAGAATATAATTTCAAAGTGAATGCTCTGGAAACATCATGTTGTTTGTAAAATCATTATCCATACAGGTCATCTGTACGGAAAGAGCATTTGACCTTTGCTACATAGGAATTAATTTGACATCTCCATTTAGAACTGTAAGCATGTCTTCAAAGTAACCATTTCTACAGCAACATTGATTCTGTGTGCTAGATTAGCAGACAAAACCAGATGAAACAATTAAACAGCCAAAGTCTACAAATCTTCTGGAGTAGCTTCACATGGAACATACATTTCTTCAGTACAAGGGTGGCAAGACTCTGGAATAGGTTGCCCAGAGATGTGGATGCCCCCTCCCTGGAGATGTTCAAAGCCACACTGGATGAGGCCTTGAGCAACCTGGTCTAGTTAAGGCAGGGAGTTTGGATTAGATGATCTCTAAGGTCCCTTCCAACCTAAGACATTCTATGATTCTGTATTTTACTTTCTCAGGAAGCAGTGAGAAAGCCTCACCACATACAATTCTTAATAATTTAAGGAAAATATAATTCAGTTTGGCTTTAATGTTTTTTGCTACTGTCATCTGCTAAATAGATTGTGTCTGTTTGGGACCCGCAGGAACAAATTATAAGAACATGTAGCTCCAAGATCTATTTGTCCTTGGCTTGACTATGAAGGCACCAATAATCTATGATTTGTAGTTTTTTCCTCGAGATAAACTTTAATTGATCCCCAAGAAATAGGAGTGAGATGCCTCATTCCTCATGCAGCTTGAGTAGGTTTGAATTGATGCTTCACTGCAGCACTGAAGCACTCGGAAGGCCATTACAAATCTCCAGCTGTTCAGGTACTTGTAATGCCACCAACTACCGAGGGACAAACCCAGAAGTCAAAACTAGAGCGGTTAACTAAAGAGTCATCACTTTTTGAACACTATTAAATCTGAAAGAATCTCGTTTAGAAAAAGCTCCCGTGGTTTTAATGATAACCGTGAGGGAGGCTTTTCCTGAGTGCATCCTCCAGGTTATCTTCCATATTTTTCAAGGGACATGTAATGGAGCAACCGTATAATCTGGAGCTTAAAGTACTGATCTGAGATAAAACCTTGGAGCAGTTATACCACCTCTGTGCTTTCATGTACGTCAGCTGCGAGGTCTTCAGGGCAAGTCCTGTCTCTGGATGCCAAACCAAAACAGAGCTTTGCTTTCAGCTGAAGCCTCTTATAAACCTTAATAGTGACTGTAAATGTTAAGTCTTTGCACATACTCTGATGATGGGGTAGTCTTTAACCTGTTTTTCTAACAGGCACATAAAAGCTCTGATTCTTGTGGTCACACAAAAATTGAAAAATGTCAGTCTAAATTTGTTACTGGACAATTGCATGACCTTGAGCAAGTCACTTAAATCTGGGATGCATGTGAAAGAAGCAAAGTACTTTCATCCAAGAGGCGTGATGAGGATCCATCAACATTATCAAATATCATAGAATTGTTTAGGTTGGAAAAGATCAAGTATGATCATTAACTCAGCACTGCCAAGTTCACCCCTACACCATGCCTCTAAGCACCACATCTGCAAGTCTTTTAAATAACTCCAGGGATAGCGAACACACCACTTCCCCGGGCAGCCTTTTCCAGTGCTTAACCCTTTTGGTGAAGAAATTTTTCCTTATCTAAATCCTTCCTGGTGCAACCTGAGGCCATTTCCTCTTGTCCTATCAGAAAGTCAAGTATCAAAACAGCTGATTTATCATTATTAGCACTTTTCTGTATGAGACTGAGGAAACAGAGTAAATCATTGCCAAGAAGGCTGAAAAGCAGAGCGTGTAAACAGTAAACAGTAATCGAATAATCCTTGTTCTGCATTTGTTTACTAAAACTATATAAAATAAAATTCCTCTTACAAAAGTCCCATATTCTTCCTAACCATAACTTTCAGCTCTCGGCCATCCCTTCCATAAAATTGACCTATCGGCATTCAAACTGTTGACAAATTGAAACCCAGAACTTTTGAATATATGAAACAACTCAGTGTTGCATTTCAAGCCAAAGATCTCACCGTGCTCAGAGAGATGGTTAGGCAGCATCACGAGCTCTTCCCATACTTTCCAACAATGCTGAAACCACCCCGCACCCCACATATTATAAAGTATCAGAGAATAAGCAATGCAAACAATGCGCATGGAAGCTGCGGTTTTTGCTGTTCTCAGCAGCACTAGTGTATTCCCTCATGTGTGTGGTAATGGCTTTTTGCTGAACTAACATGAAAATGTAAGATCCTTTCCAACAGGCATGTGTGTTTGCACACAGAGCAGAACACGGTGCAGGCCAAACCGGTGTTATTAATCACAGCTCCATACTATGACTACACCCCAAAAAGGCAGAGTACAGAGGCATGCCCATATTTCACTTTAAACCCTGGAAAACCAAACACGGCACCACCAACTATTACAGTATTATTACTGATTTTGTTCTGGTGATGTAGCTAGGTGGTACAATTCTCTAAGGTTAAAGTTTCTTTAATAAAATACTGATGCTGAAGGTATATATACAAATTTCAGTTCTGCTATTTATTTCAATGCGTCTTTGCTTCATCTCCTAATTTTTAATAGTGCAAAACAAAAACCAGGCAGGGCAGTAAAGACAGGTCCAAAAATACAGAGGCCACCTTTTCACAAAGCTGCTTTGCAAAGATTATTTTCTCAAGCCGAACAAAAAGATAACAAAAACTAATATAAAGCCACTTATGTAATATAGATATGCCAGAAGATATTTTTCTTCTTTCCCTGAGACTACTGACTGTGAGAAGAAAATGACCAGCTGGTTTGGGTTTGGGATGCAGATCTGTCTCTCACAGAAACGGCTGAAACCAAGAACATGAAGCAAGGATGCTCCCTTTCTACCTTTGAACATGCTATGTCATGTCAACACACTCCTGCTGGTTTGTGGAAATAACGAGATAAACTGAACTAAAAAAAAAGAGGTGACAATGGACCAGGAAGAAAAGAACAGATTCACACACACTTCATAGCTGAATCACCTAATAGACAATTTAAAGAATAATCAGTTTCTGTAATACATGTTTGAATGATTAAATTAAAACCAAATATCAACCCAGATAGCATAAGAATTTAGCCATATTCTGCAAGAGGTAGATGATCTCACTCATTTCTTTCATCTAAAACATCTTAAATCAGGCATACTGTTATATTTAGACTTGAAATACAGGAATACTATGACATACAGTAATCAAGCACAGATCAATTTCTGCTACTGCTTGTATTCCTTCCTTCCTACATGAGCAATCTAGACTCAGTATAGTTCTAGCAGGAAATAATGTAACTTCAGGGCAAGCACAAGACAAACAGCTACATTTCTGTAGGTATTAAGACGTACATAAAATCTTGCTTTCACGGAACTGGCATACTCTGGCACACAGCATATTTAAAAAAGCAACTCTGCACAGAAATTCATCAAAGCATGCAGTTTTCTAGGTGTACCAAATGCAGCGAGAAGTGTCAACTGTTATCCCTCCTCCAAGTAAATCTTTAAAACCAGCAAGAAAAATTACAACAACAAAAACACCAACCTTAAACTAAAGACAGTCACAAATTACTGAGACAATTTTCATATTTTACCAATGCTGCCGGATTGTTTTTCCGTCTCATTTTTCTCTCCACAAAGTTTGCGTGATGCATGCTAAATGAACCATCTGTAAATCCACATTTTTTCCAGCCTGTTTTGTCGTCAGCTCTCCGGGATCCTATTGTGCAGTTCTCCTCCCCTCTTCCCTAAACACTTCTACTGCTGATGCAGAGGCTGGCGGCTGCTACAGCATAATGCAGTTTTCAGTAACTATGGCAGCGATAGCTCTGTGGTGAAGCTGAATGCCTTCCACAACACAATCTTAAGGCTCAGATAGAGAAACTCAAGTGAAAATAATCACTGTTGCTAAAAGCTGAAAGAAGACAGTCAAGACAGCATCCCTATCCTTCTGTCTGCTTAGTGTTCAAGTCCATTTTCCTTTTGCAAATTTTTTTTTTCCAGCGGGAGAAGAGTTAATAACAAAGCAGAAAAAAAAGATGTTGGCGAGGCATTTTACACCCTTGCAAATCCTGGAACTGAGAGCAATCCCAAGTCAGATACATCAGCTCCCCCTCCGTCCTCCCCCTCCACCTGTGTCCAATCCGGGGCCCTTCCCGTGGGGCCTCAGAGCATCACGCAGCTGCACGGCATCGTACATCTGCCTCTGCCCAGCCCAGAGCCTCAAACCTCTCCCTTCTCCTCCCTAAAGAAGGGAAGAGTGATGGAGGAGATACGAAGCCCTCGCATTATTGCTTCCTCCAGCAACACCACCCGCAAAATTCAAAGCTGAAGTTGGCGGATGGCGGGCAGGAGGAGAACGGAACCAGAAATCCATCAAACCAGCTAGCAGAGTCGGAAGCCTTTAGAAATGAGGGACTTTCAGAAACGGACACACAGAGTAATCCCCTTCACAGAAGTTACCATCAGGTGAAATACCTGGATTTCTGATGAGCTGGTTTGTTTCCAGAAAAAGCACACCTCTGCATTTTTCTTTCCAGGAGGGGGAAGTGGGGTGAGCCTTTCCATGCAAAATCTCATTTTTTTTCTCTTTGCCTAAGCCCCCAAGACAACAGTAAGGCAAACGCTTTGTTTAAGGCAGCCCTTTAAATACACTTTAAAACAGACCTCTTTTTGGCACAGAGACACAGGCACAAGACACAGACACACACTCCAGTAAAGGTCACCGCTGCCTTGCTAAATTCCAGTTCAGCTGGAACTACAGTCTATCACAGGTTTTCCCCTTATGATTTCAGTTATATATAGAATCAGTCAGCTCCCCTGCTAACCCATGATACATGATTCTGCTCTAAGTTGTAGAGTTGCTGTAGCTGACACGGGGCATTTCTCTGTGAAATGAAACATTTGAGGGATCTTTTAAGAGATGCAAAAGATTTCTTTAACCTACATTTGCAGAGCGCTTTGTAATTCTCAACTGCGAGCTTTAAGTAAGAACTCAGAATATTATTTTACAAATATGAGTTGGACCTGTTAACTATACTACAATAGTAATTGTGTTGTGTTCTCCAGCATTAGATGCCGGATCTACAGGCACTGTTTCCTTTCCAGGAAGTTCACCAGAATTTCACACATTCTTATAAGATGATTTTATTTTTTTTTTGGTTTACGAATGGTGGTATTTTCAAGGAAAGAGAGCTTAAGCATGTTACAGGCAGCTAAAATTAATTCAATGTACTGCTATACCACTGTTGTTTTTTGGTTGGTTGGAGCGGGTTTTTATGGTTTTTTTTGTTGTTTTTTTTTGTTTGTTTTTGTTTTTTGTTTGTGTTTGTTTTGTTTTTCAAACCAGCAAGAGAATAAAAATCAGGGTTTATCTTTATATGCAGCATGTTATTAAGGCAATGACAGGAGCAAGTGTCTGCTTATTTGGGGTGATACTATCATAGGATGACTGATGTCAGTCACAAGCCTCCTGCGTGGTTGCTGGCTGACAATAAACATCAGAACAAACATCCTGGGGCCCTTTTGAGCAGGGTGTACAAGCAAAAAAATCACACCCCTTCTCGAGGGGAGTTTTATGCCTAAAGTTTTAATATTTGAGTGCAATGGTAGAAATTTGTTTTGTCTCTCGCTTCTCAAAATATTTTAAGACACAATTATAGATTTAACTGGTAATTCAACCCATGAAAAACAGATGAGAAACATGTCAACATACTGCTAGCATGGGAGGTAAGACTGTAAGTAATCATTACGATAACACATATGTTCACATGTTCTGAAATAAAAAAATCCAGAAGGAAGTGAAGTACCACTGGTTCCTGCTTAAAGAGTACTTAAAACCATGGAAACCCAACACTTTCTGAATGATTTTTGTGTGCAGCCGCTGTGCTTCTTCACAGGAATGAACCATGTTCTATGCTAAGACTTCTTTTTTGGACTCTTCCATAAAGCCATTTTCTTCTCACCAGAAGAGAACCCAATTTGTCCAAGGAATTTCCAATATATTAATGAGTATTCACAGTACCTACTACTAACATCAAATATACCTTAGAGTTCTCATATATTGTAAATCGGTCTCAGCTTCAGCATAAACCCCACTCTAGGCATGGCTTTAAAATACAGGTTTCAGGCAACAAATGTACAAACTGTTTGCAAAAGATCAAGTATGGAAAGAACTTGGTTACAGAGACTTGCCCTTAACTCACCGCATGTACAGATCCTTGTTTCAGTATGATAAAAATCAAGTTAAAGCTTGAAGCCTAGTTTGCATCTCTTCTGGAGGAAATCAGTGTAGCACAGGACAAAGCTAGAGGGGCCAAAAAATTCAGCATGATTTAGACACATTAATATTCTTACCTTCGTGCAGGAGAAGATTTGTTTTCTTTACAGTTTCTACAATTTGGACTGTAAGAATAAAAACAGGAAATCATAAAGATGTTCAAAAAAGAAGGCAAAAAAACTTCACTCAAGCCTGTTATATATACAGAGATGTTATTAACACTTCAGCAGAGGAAGACTCTAAGATGCAGATTGCTAGCAGCTGGGAGAGCACCAAGAACTATTATCAAGTGAGGGGCGCCAGAGGGGGAGAGAGACACAGCTTGCCCTGTTCTTCTGTTTTCCTCTAAGCATCTTTTTCTGGCAGAGACAAGACTCTGCACCAGGTGCACTCTGTACTGAGGAGCAAATAAGCACTGCCTGTAGGCCTCTTCGTTCTGTATGACTGTTTGCAAAGTACCTCAGACATACCTTTTAATACTTGACGTTCACTTATTTCAAGAAAGCTGGATATTAGAGAGACCACATATATCTCTTTTTATTCTCATGATCAGATTCTCAGATCTTAGGCTAGAAGTCTGAAGAACAACTCCCTGCACATGCCAAACTCCTTTTCTGGACAGAAACACAGGCTTACTGGTTACTGTAAAGAAAGATTGAGTGGATCGATTCAGTTTATCTTTGCCAAAAAAATATTCAAGAGGGAAAAAAAAAAAAAGACCACTGGATCATGTAAGGTGAAAATTAACTATCATTAGACACAGTTTATAGCTTATTCCTGTAAAAGATGTATACTCATAAAAATAATGCTAATGCAATACCATAATGCTTTTCATTTTTACTGAAGTAACAATGTGAAACATTCTAGGTATGCATGAGGGTAATGCTAAGCAATATAATATGCACAGTCCTGTCCAAGTGATTAAAAAAAAAAAGACCAATACACACATATCTGCTATCTGAACATGGTCTGAAAAAAAATCAATTAGACATGTTCTTCATTTTTGTCAGGTTAAAAAGGGGGAAACTAAGTGTGATTCTTGCTAAACTGCCCACAGTGCTTGCAAATTTCTGCAGGTTTTTCTAGGACCATCAACAAATATTGGTGACAAAAATTCCACCTCTAATGTTTATACCATGTAAAGAGCAACTTGGTATCTACTTCTGAAGGTCATTAGACAAGTCCTTATTTTTAAATTCTTCCTATTTGTTTTGCAAGGAAAATAATAGCAGCGATGTGTAAAGTGCTCTTCAGAAAAGGAACAAAATGAAATACCATTTTGTATAGTATGGTATCACTGCAGCAAACGAACAGCAAATGCAGAGATTAGATACATTAAAGAGAACACACAGAAACACACTATCCAAGGTAGAAAGAAAGCCACTTGACTAGAAGTATGAAGAGATGTTCAAAAGAGAGATAACGTTCTATGCCCATAAAAACAAGATGAGATACTTCCTCTAGAACGAGATAAAAAGATGCCCAGTATGTTACCACACCAAAAACAATCTAGCAAGAAGCACAACTATCAACAGATATGAATGAGACGGCTGTTTCTTGCCTTTAACAGGTCAATTGAATGTGCCAGGCTGAGAGGAATTAAAAAAAGAGAAAGAACCCAATTACATTTAATCCTGTGATGCTCTGTTTTCAATGTTATGAACTGAAACACAGGAGATAATTAATTTTCCTGACACATATTAACCACTGGCATCATCCCACCAATCCTTTCCCTTTCAGAAAGGCTCTGCCATGAAAAGCATACGCTAGACACTGCCAGTACGAGTAGCTCTTCAACTTTTCAGACACAGTCTATGTCTTACTTACTCCTCAGTTTTAACAAAAAGCAAAAAACCATAATGGCTTTCTGAGACGAAGGGCTCAACAAGGACTTGAACTAAAGGTAATTTATGAACAAACAAACCTGATTTCCACAACAAATTAGCAGGGAAACTGAATTGGTAGTAATTACCTTGGCTAAACCTTATCTAAAAAAGCCCGTTCTGTGCACTGAAGTAAGAACATTGCAAAAGTTATAGATTGCACATCTGTTATAATGCAGATGTGCAAGGGATTTGAATTGAGACTGACAATCTAATGTGAGGTATCTCGATTGTTCATCAATATTTATTGTGCACCAATAAATAATTTTTCAGGTTTGTTGCTTGGATATTGTAATACTGCCTATTAGCCAGTTGGCCGCTGCAGTTTCTCGGACACTTTTATTTCACCACTTTAAAACACGACGAGATCTTTTGTATATGTAACTTAGTTTTGTCTGAACCAAGTCCTGGTTTCAGACATCACCCCACATGAGAAAGTGTTTGTCTTAAACTTACTTTTCAAGAGAAGAAAGGATATAGTGTGGAGAATGGGTGGAACTTCCAGCCAAGCTGAGCCAGTCCAAAGCTCCACAACTCAGGCTGGGTGGGACTTCATTAATCTATGAAAAATACAACATGAGAACAGGAAGAGAAAAAAAAAAAAAAAAAATCACAACTTGGAAGTTCCTGGGTTGCTGTCATTAATAACACTGTTGCTAATTTTTCTGTGTGTAATGCTGCATAATACCTCCCATGGGAGTTTATAATCTCACTAACGCTTCTGCTTAGGTTTTGATAATTTGCAAAATTCTATTTGTTACTGGGCACACCCCTTCTTACAGCTCTGTTTTAATGCACTGCATGCTTCATTAATCAAGAAATTAAGAATGTAAACAATCAGAAGTTAAGCCCCTTATGTCATCTCCAGAAGTGAGTACAAAAGGACAGTTGAGCAGAAAGTATTAAACATTACTATATGAAAAATTAATTTTAAAAAGTAGATTCTTACCAATATCAATTGGTAATACGGTTATGTCCTAAATCAGAAAATTTACATTCTTTAGGTTGGTTTTCTTTGTTATATATGCCAGTCGTTTTAAGAACTAACTAATTCTTTGGAAACATTATTGAACCACCTGACAGAATAATAACTTCTAGTAGTTAGTTTCCAAGATTCACATACCAAGAAATATTTTATCCCTTTCTGGTGCATATAACAACTAAGTGCTTTCAAAATCAACAATAGCCAAGTACTTAATCCCATAACTTTTCCATTTCTTCTAGTACATCTCATTCAGGATGGTGACATGACAGAGAAAGAAGGTAACTCAGAGAATTATCAAATGTGGAAAGATTCTTAACTGGTCTTTTCACTGCAGCATTCTGCCTTTTTGTTTCAATCCTGCTGTAGTCATGACCAGAAATAGGAAACACTAAATTATTCAAGGGATCTGCATCATCTTTTGCTAAGTACATCTGAAAGAAGCACTAGTGTCCTCCCACAAAAGGTTTGGTGTCATTACAGACATTAGATAGAGGAAATGAAGCAAGTGAATATGATGATGAGAAGAAATATTTTCTCTGTCAGGCTTGTTTTTAAAAGGAAAAATAATTACTAAAATCAATTAAGAACTAGGAGAGAAAAATAGAACTTACTGATCTTCTTTGTCTCAAGATAGCAGCTTCTGCTGGGTGATTGAATCTAAACTTGTGTGACTTGCCAAGGACAACAAGAGCCCCTGTGAAAAAAAAATAAAAATAGTTAGAAACCTACAGAGACATAATTCATCAAACAGTTGATCCCTAGAACGTTAGCAGTTTCTTAACTCCAGGATACATACTGGAGCATATACAAACTACTACGCGTAGTATGTTAACAAAGACAATATTCTGACCCACAGCTTTCTGCTTGTTACACAGCAGAGAACTATTTTTAGAATTTGCCACTATGGAGCAGCAGAGTTATCATTCTGTAATTGCAGCATCCAAGCAAACTAATCTTGCAAGTCAACATAATGGTAAAGTTCCCTGTTCATATTGAAGACCAGCATGACTTCATATCAAAAATATAACCAACTCACTGCTGGGAACTTGTTTTTACACTACCTTCTTAAGAATCCAGGTCACTGCACGTTTCCAGAAATTGAATTGTTTTTTTTTTTCATTTTAAATAATTTGAAAATATGAGAGCCTGACTCATTTCATCTAAGCTCCTTCACCACAGCCTATATCTCAGCAGCAAGTATCCTCCACTTAAATACACAGTGAAAAAGTTGAAGGTCATTTCAACCATATTACAGAATTGACAGAAAATCCTGCCAGTGGTCAGCTGGCTTAGAACCAGTCTCCACTACTTTCCACAACAGTGTCTCTAACAGTAGGTCTTCCCTAGTGAGAATGCTACTGACTACCACTGCCAAAAGGGGTCTTAATATCGTCACCATTTTGTCTTCTTTCACTTTTGATGAGGTATGTAGTTGTCCCAGTCTGGAAAGCTCTAGCCATGGATCAAACCTTGTGCTGTTAGGCAGCAGGAGGAGACCGAGAGATGTGTTTTTTACAACCGCATGAATTCCATAAATCCTTTACTCTAAACTCCAGGGCTAAGCTAATCATACTGGAGCATTCACAAGCCTTACCTTGTGACAGACGACAAGATCCAATCACTTTGCAGCCATTCACAGTGCAGTGTGCGCCCTGAACAGGTCGCAGTGTCACAATTCCACAGGTGTTGTCTATCATACAATGATCCTTTTCAATCCACCGTCCCTGCAAAACTACAACATACAGATTTGCTTTATTGAAGGAGTTGGGTTTGCACCCTTTTCCTCAGAATGAAGTACCATGCACTGTTTGACACTGTGACTGCACACTTCATATCTCGGAGAACTATGGCACGTGCAGAAGGAGGAATGCATGGAAAGAAAAAAATGGAAAACTATACTACCTTCTGATTTGTGCACTGATGTGCATATTTTTCTATTGTTATGAATTTTCTTATTGCTATTACGGCATTTATTGTTTGTATTTTACTAACCTATTGGCAAAAAATGATCCAACTTCACCAAATTTAGCAGTTTCCAATTCCAGCATAAACTTTGAATCCTATCATAATTCGTAGCTCTTGAGATTAACTGTTAAAATTGAAAGCAGAAACAAAATGAAGTAAAAAACCCACTCTGAATAATTTTTGTTTTATATTTAAAATACCCTGCCCGAGTAGAGTTGAAAAGTATTTTCAACATCTCATGATCACTTGTGCCTTTAGTTTAGGACAGATCATACCAAGATATGGATGTTGAATGAGGATATTTTTAAACTCTAGTGTAGCATTTCACAAGTGGGTAGAAAATTCTGAAGAAATCTCAATTAGGTCAAGACATTGACTTTACGATCTCTTAAACAGAAAATAACTGAAAGATTTTAGCCAGCTTAAGCAACTATTCTCATCTACTTATATGTTCTATAAAGAAAGCACTTGGTTTGAGTTGGTATGACCAAATCATAAAATAATCTGTAGTATCATTCTCTTACCAATGTCTTGATCTTCGTCTGAATCGCTTCTTCCAATTTTGGTTGTTCCTTCCTAAAATAAGAAAATAACTAAATTAAATCAGTTACTGAAAGTGGATTATATATAATAAGTAAAAAAACCTTTGGTACAGCATCTCAGCAAATACCTGAAATAAATCATCTCTGAATAACTGAATTGTTTAGAGCAAACTCTATCCGCTACTTTGTAATATTTCAGCCTGATGTCCCCCATAGAGATGCGATTCCTTATCCTGCAGCTGCGTCAGCTGCTTCTATTACGACTCCAGTAGATGAAGTAACCCCCAGTGGGTGACTTTTGGACTGTGCTCGAGACAAATATTTAGAATGTGAACACATGCTCTGATGCTTTGAACATTTACAGCGAGACTTGATGTTTGCAGAAATGAGATAATTCTTTTTATAAATATCCATGCAGGAAGAAAGAAGCTGCAAAATTATTATTCAAGTTAACTAGGCTTTTCAGATATAAGTGTAGCAGAATTCCTCTTTCATAGGAGAATTTTCTCATTGATTCTGAATTCTTCAAACTTTTCCCGAAACTTAAATGAGATTTATAAAAAGTCTTGTTGGTGATTATGGCATATGGGCAAGTTCCCAAACTTGAAGATTCGATAACCTCAAAGAAAAGAACAGCCTAAGAACAAAATTCTGCAGAACTTGCAGACTCAAACCATATTATGAGCCAGTGATGGAAAGGAGTCAGTACTGTTATGGTACAGTACAAATATCAATGAAATAGAGTCATTTAATCAACACTGTGAGAAAAAAATTCCAAAAAGTGCAACGAATTTACCACCTCTCTAGTATGTTCCATTACAGGTTCTACCTTTTTCCTTAGGAAAACAAAGCAAGGTCATTTCCCAGCTCTGAAGAGACATTATACTAGATTATTGTAAACTGATTAGTGAACATGCTTGAGAACAACTTTATTGACAACTCTTTCAGTCGTATTAAAATTAATTATAGTCATTCAGCTACCTCATTTTTTAACTGTAATTGAAAGCCCTTGAATATGGTTTCTTCACCAAGCATATTATAACCTAGATTTAAAGGAGAAGCAAGCAGTAGTAACCGGAAGCCTGAAGACAGCGGAAGGGGAAGCCATCTGTTACCGTAGGATGATGAGGCTACGGATAATTACAGGTAAATTACAGCAGGTTTTTGTTCAAGAGGGCAAGGGCCTGAACATCATTTAGTTCCTCACAGAGCTCAGGTATCTGAACCAACTAACGAGACATGCTGAGATTCCCTTGCTGGAGAGGCTGAAAACTGGATTGTGCCTAGTGCTCCTGCTTTGGAGTAATTCTCAAGTTACACATCAGCTTAACATCCAGTGAACTCAACCATAAAATATTCACCTGGCTTGGCCACAACTTGCAGAAAACTTATGATCCACATGGCTTTGACTCACCTGGCACAATCAAGTGAGGTAGCAACATGTATTTTATACAAAGAGAAGTAAACCAACTCCTAAAAGACTTCTTTATCAAATATCTTCTTGATTAAGCAAAGAAACAGATATTGTAATTCAAAAAAAACCCCTGTCTGGTTTAATATTACAGGAGTATTGGCTCATGAAATACACAAGAGTATCCCAGTCAGTGGAGTGATTCTGCACAAGTTTAAATACAATTAAAAATTGCAGCTGAGAGCAAGGGTACAGATATGATACAAGCAAACTAACATCTTAAAGAAGAAAACAAAATAAAACCAGCCGTAACTCAGGTCCATATTTTTTTTTTCATATGCTGTTATTGAGCTAACCATTTCAATATTCATACTGTTTCCTAATTTAATATTAAGTATTTCACCTGAAAAAGTGAAAGACAGAAGAAAGGATCATGCAACTTCATCTTAACATATCGAGGTACATCTTCATATCTGCTGAAGTGCTTTTACGTTGTTGCTCTCTTCTGGCAGTGTTTCCTGACTAAGGGTAGAATTCCCAAGTTGCATTATAGAACCATGAAGAGTGAGATTGTTTTCCCTGTTCAGTTTTGGGAGTACTCCAAATTTGAAACAAGTTTGCAAAGTACATATTTTTATATAACAGTATAAGCAAATCCCATACTTCTAAGCTATGCAGAAAGTTCAGTTAAATAACAGGGCTAACATACATTTTTGTTAATGCAAGCCAGAAAAAAAAGAACAGAACCCAAGAAAGAATGGTTCTTTAAGCATAGACACAGCATTGATTAGTGCAATTAATACTATGGAATATCAAAAGACCAAAAGAGTAACACAATGTTTATTCTACATGATCTGAAAACTACTACCATGATCTTTCTCTAGGAGGGCTGTTGTATGTTGAAGCCCTAATACATATGGAACCACTAATGTTTTACCTTCTTGCTGTTCAGATGAAGGTAATAGACACCAAAGTCTAAAAGATGCAAAGCACAAAGAAAAGAAAAGGCAGCATCTAGGAGCAAAGAAAGATGGGACAAAGACGTTAGTGTTACAGAGAGACATTAGTGACTTCAGAAGGTGACCCTGCAAACTAGGTTTCTCCATTAAAATGAATATCTTTAAATTACTTTAGGTCAAAATAAGTATAGGAAAACACTGCTGTTTCCAAAATGGCATTTAAGTAGTAGCAATTACTTTTAATAAATCTTAATGTAGGATTAAGTAGTTCAAGTTGCACATTATTACTTGGTCCCTAATTATTACCTGGTACAATTTATTTGTGTTGGCATGAGAATAATTAGTAAGGTTTGTCTTTCAACATGATAAAGAAGAGCATTTCTGTTTCAAATATTTGTTGCAGCTTTTTAACAGGAAAAAAGTCCTGTGTCCCTCCACCATAACAAGTATCACAAAACCTAAATTTGGATTAAGATATATTACTAGTAGACTGATACATGTTTTTCAGCCATATTTAACAAACTCTTTGCTAATAAGTGCACCTCTGTAGGGGTGCCGATCCATCATTCCTTTCAGATAAATCAGCATCAATATTTCAGTAATGTCCATTCATTTAAAGAACACTAAGAAGTTAAAAGTCCAGCTGAGCACTGACTTACTAAAAAAAAATTAAAAAAAGGGAAAACTCCTAAAACTGTTTGACCTAGCCATGCACATCATAAGTCACAAAGTGAAGCAATATGCATATAACATCACGAAAGTTTCTTGGTGAAAACTGTGCCTTAAATGAGCAGCTGCACAGCAAAACAATATCTCTAAGGCCAGGATTTCTACCTAATCCTGGAAAACAGCCACTCAAATGGGATCCCAAGGAATTAGCATTCAAGCTACATGCCTAGTATCTATTTGGCAGGCCTGGTAGGGTTAAAAGAGCAATAGATAAAAGTAGTTGCCAAAGTGAGCTTGTGCTTGTTAAAGCTTGCTTTTATCTTTGTTCTACACATAGACAAGTAATTCCAGGCTCAAGTATACAAGTACGTAGTAAAATCCAGACCCGGATGTCTGGTATACTTTAAGCACCATCCTTTACATTTATACACACAGAGAGAGTGTAATCAATATATTATCTCACACAGAGAGTGTAACCACTCTCTGTTTCCAAAGAAAACAAGTGTTGTCAAATCCAAGGGAAAAATAAGACAAGTGACAATATCTCACCCTGAGATGATACAGCACCACACCTGTGCTGAGGATATCATCATCCATGGCCATTAGATGAGGTAAATTAGAATCTATCGTTACTCCAGCTTTTTCTTTGTTGATGTCCACACTGTATTCTTCCATGATGGCTTTCCTGTCTGTCCACTTACTTGTCCAGTCTTTGGTCAACTGCTCAATCTTAAAGAATAGGAGAGGAAAACTTCTCTTACTATGAAGGTTAATTTTTCTCATAGATTTAGTCAAAACAAACCAGCATTTTTTTCCAGTTACTAGACCCAAAATCCTTTGACCAGTTGCAATGCAGATGTATTTCTAATTGCATTTCTGTGGCAACAACAAAAAAAGAGGGTAAGAACTGTAGTTCCACGTAGTGAATGTCAGAAAGATGTATGATCATGCTAACTAGTTATTTTGCCTGTCTTCAGGCAAAACTTAAAATTAAGATCTCCAAAACCTTTCCAGTCACCAGTGATCAAATCTTCTTAGTAATTTGGTGACTGCACAATAATTTCCTTTGAATAAATTGGAGTTTAATCTTAGAAGAGAGAGGCTGTGTAGAAAAATTACTGTGATATATTGAGACAGTTTTCAAGCAAGGAGTAGGCTGTGCAGACCTAGTGATATGGAATGGACAGTATCCCATTAAGGACATGGGATTTTCATCACAAATTGTTAGAGAGCACTAAGGATGGCACCTTCCTGCATATGCAGAGCAAACAAGAGTGGGTTGAGGATAAAAACATTTTCACTGTGGTTTCAGGACCGTGGCAATGCTGTCCTCCCTGGCTCAGTGAAAAAGGAGAGAGTTACAGCATCAAATAGATCATACACACCTTCATTTCATTCTGAAGAACCAGCTCGGTCAGATTTCCATCTCTGTCATCACTCCAAGAAGGACTGGAATTCCTCTGTACAAACAACAGCCACCAAGATTTACACGTTAGTTTCCATTCTTTCATTCTCCAAATTTCAAGGAAATAAACCCAGAAGAAGGAAAGACAAAATACACAGACGTGTGATTCCACCTTCTCGGATTTAGCTCACACTTCTCTAGCTACTGCATGCAAGTTTTACTAAAGAATTGGCAAAAGAGCCATTCATAGAGAGCTACTTCTGCATAAATAAATTCTGGACCGTAGTTCTAGTCTCTCCCAGCAAAACATGCTCTCCATGGCATGGAAAACTAAGATGCTATTATTATTCCAAAGGAGAAAACAAAGAGTGCCAGCTGTATTATGAGGGCTCACAAGTGTTCACAACTTCTTTTGGTGGACAGAGTGTGAAGACTGGGTGAAACCTCCAAAATACTGTTGAGGTCTACTAGTTCACTTTTTGGGGAAAAGAGTATTGTAACAAGTCCAGCAGGGAAATTATGCCAATGATTAATATTTTGTAGTGTCTTGGTGCTTCCATATGCCCCAAATATTCCTATTTGACGGTATTTCTGGACAGCAAAATCATCTGACTCCATGAAAAACATGGAAGAAAATCTTTTCTATTCATTACACAACTGCTTATACTTCAGGATTATCAATTTAATTCTAGAGAAAGAAGAAATTACAGAAATCCTGTTAGCCTTATAATCATTGCAAAATTACTCAGAGAAGAGTTTAATGTCCCTCCAGATACAATAAGTATGCAAAGATAAAAGTAAGCTGCTGTAGCTACATAAGGCAACAACAGAGCTCCAGTTGGGAGATGCTCCTACGTACCAGTTCAAAGCTCATCAGCATAGTTTTCAGCCTATCAATTTCTTCTCGCAGTTCTCTGATCAGTTTTACATTTGCATCCTGAAACATTGAGACAGATGTTGGAAAAATCATTCTGTAGAAAATCCTAGCTAAAGAAGTCAGCGCAGAGCTGTTCCAAGAGTCAGGAAAAAAGGAGAACAGGCACACTCACAGCACCTCGCTTCACTCTGCCAGACCCTTGGGATGTACTGCCTAGGGGCAGGTAGTTCCCATCTTTGATAGGTTCTCTTTCCCCACAAACTTTGTTCCATCTCTTTTCTGAACCCAGACCTACCAAAGTATTTGTTCCCATCATGACAATAACTGCTTTTACAGAATTACCTTCAAATTAGTTCCATAAGGTCAGAAAAATGCCGTTATTTCTGTCATGCAGAGGAAAGAAAACAGGTCAGAGGAGACCAAGCCAGAATGTCACTAACCATGGCATTAAAAGCCCTCCCAGCTGAAACACAAAACAGTTCCTGCCTGCTTGTGTGGAGGCATTGACCTCGCTTTCAGAGTAACCGCCTCTGCACAGGCAGTTTCTGGAAACCAGCTTTTTACAGATAGTTAAGGCAAGCTCTTGAGTCAAGAGTCAACTTTCTCCAGCTTGTCAGTCAGACTTTGGCTCAGGTCAATTTGCAGTGAGGAGAAGGTGTCAGCGAGCTGAAGGGATGGAGTTAAGGGTCTAGCATAGGCCATGCAGGAGTCAGCTGCTCGAGAATTAGGAAATGTCGCAATCAAGACTCTTTCTGAAACCTCAATTCAGTCCCCTTAAATGGATATCACGATTCAGTCTTTAAGTTACGTGATCACTGCGGGATGGCAGCCTCATGCAGAAAGCCAGGTGAAGAATGTTCAGTTAAAGAGCAGTAACTGAAGAGTTTTACATTTCTAACAGGTGTGATCATACACCTTGATTATTACGTGCTATTTTAATTTTACTGTGAAGACAGACAGAATTATGCACTTTTCCATGGATTTTTTTAAGCTGGTTCTCATCGCTGTACTGTCTAAAACCTGCACAACTGCTAATCGGTCTGTTTTAACAGCATGTCTTTGATTGGGAGAGGTTATGTGTTTCCCAGTTGACAAATGTATACTAAGGATAAGGGTGGAAAATGAGGAACAAGCACATATTTTAAGCATCTGGATTAGCACTGAACAAGGGGGCAGCACTAGAATCTGTCCCTTTAATACCCTGTTGCTTTCTAACTTGTGAAGGATGCCTGCACATCAAACATGAATCTGCCATTCAGTCAGATTTCATAAGTGCAACAGGCCTATTTTGTGCAATGAATGAAGCTGGGGTTCTGTGGCCAAAATCGTGCTAGTGTATTTAAAAGCTTCATCATTTTGTGTACTGAAAAGAAGACAAACTAAAACTACAGAGATTACTTTAGCCTGACATACCAACTTCTGAATTCTTGAGTCTGCAACCTTAACAGAATTCATTTAACATGCCAAAAGGAAGGGTCGCAAGTGTTATGCTCTTATAGTAGCAGGTTAAAGAGTAACAAATAGCCCTAACAGATCTGTAACTCTGCCTATATTTAGGATAAAGACACGGGGCAAACATACATGTCAAAACAATTCAAAGAGAAGAAGGATGGAAACTCAATGGACGGAGATGAAGAACGTAAAATAGGTGTGAAATTCGAAACAGTTTAAGCTGCAGAGGATCAAGGAAGTTATTTCTGTAATATACAGGCTCCTATTTAGCTCTCCTAAACATGGGAAAAAGAATTACGGATTTTATCCAGAGAGCAGATATACTGAAAAAACCCTTAAATAATACATATAACAAATTAGAGCAAGAATCAAAAGCAGAACTCAAGGCCTCACCTCATTCACTCTGGGCTTGTTAATAATATTTTTGGCATTTGAGGCGTATCTCAGGGTACTCATGGTCTCGTTGTAGCTGGAGCTTGCAGGAGAGATAGCTACAGACAGAAAACGAAGAAACTTAAAAGGTTATCAATTTAACCTGTTCAAGAAGGTGGATTTTTTTAGTCTTGCTTCTTTAAAAATCAAGGTAAAAAAATATCCTTAGGGGTATTTCATCAAGCTCACAGAGAATGTCTTCTCAAGATTGTACATATAACTGAATAAATCACTTTAAATCAAAGCTATGACCTTGCTTCTTCATTTCCTTGAGCATCCTACAAAGTATTTAAGAATACCTGTACAAGGACAGATACCAAGTGATACAGCTGTCTTCTCACTGCAGCAGAGGTGTTATTTTAAAGGGGTAACATGGTGCAAAACGTTAACCATGAACAGAAACCAAACTCACTGGCAATCATAATGGTCTTGGAGTTGCCCCCCAGGCTGTCCTTCAGAAGCCAGGTGAGGATGGAGTCACGGTACGGGATGTAAGCCGGTCGCCTGGTCCCACTGACGCTGCCTGTGGAAGGACTGTCCGTGTGACTGCTCTCCCCTTCGCTTGTTAAGGTGTTTATGCTTTGGCAGCTGCTGAACATCTGTGAATTTTGTGCTGGAGGAGGAGGAAAGGGGTTATCTTTTTCTGTCATGGCTATTTCTTAGACATCATTACAGTTTACTGAAGATGCCACACAGCCATTCTGTTCAGCTTTTTGTTGCAAATACAGACAAACATTAAGACACAGTATACACTGAGCAAGTCCTATGCTACCCTTCGATACAAAGAACTACCACGCTTACCTAAAGTGGAGATGACAATTCCAAGTGTAACTAATGACTTGTTAATATTGGCACCTTCGGTAATTCGATCTTTACAGTAACTGGGGTCAGCTCGTTCGCTGTAACACATAAGCATGGAAAAGACAATGCAAATCAAACAAAAATGCTTAATTATTAACATAAAATTAATATGAAAACATTATGCATTTTCTTGACATACAAGAAAAAAGAAGTTGCAAGCTTCGCAATAAAACAAAACATGTTTTGAACACGTTGGTGCAAATTACTGTTAAATACCCATCCAAAACACAAATCCAAGCCTAAACTGGCCAAATCCAATCACAATGGTTCTGAATTAAAAAAAGCCAAGAAGATACGTTTTACAAGTCTGCAAGGGTAGATTGGCAAAAGCCTGTATATCCCCTCAATTCTAATTTCTCTGCTCAAATGTGCCTGGCAATTTATGCTCTTGAGAAAGAAAAATGTCCTTCGCTCCAACTGCTCTATAACTCTTCAGCACAACTTGCATCTTTCTGTTCTCTGTCACATCCAGCACAACCACATGTTCCTCACTGAAATGCATAGCTAAGAGGAGAGATGTAGGAACTTTTAGAACATGAGCAACATAAGCAGTGAGATATGACTATTTTCTCCCACCCATGCTAAGTAGTCTTGAGGAATACATTCCTTTTTTATTCACTCTTTTCAAGCTCACACTTGATAATTCCATCAATAGCTACTAGAAAAGTCACTTATGAAGAATATAGAGTTGAATGGAATTACCTTAAATGTATGCAACAGCACAGTATTGGATCTGAGGACTAGGAAATCCCTTCCCCAGTGAAACCCAACACCCAATACAGAAGAACAGATGACAGAGATAGTATTAACTCAATATTCCCTGTTAATGTATATAAAATTCAAGCTTATTGCTAGTTTAATGAAGTTTTAAAATATTACATTTCATCCTTTAAGGCAGTACCAGCAGCATCCTCAGAGAAAATTACCTTTTTGCCCCTCAGTGTATTTATTATTACCTGCCTGCAAGGTCCACCAAGTTGATCTTGCTTGCAATTTCAGAGGGGAGATTGTTCTCCAATATTGCCTGAAGAGAAAAATATAAATAAGGAAGATTATTTCTCCTAATTAATTAAGGAAAATAAAACTGATGTGCTCTTTTGTTTGAAACTGAGTTTTACATATTACTGTCTCACTGCCTTTCTTTGTGACCTTGACCCACTGTGTTCAAACCCTTAACTCAACAGCTTTCTCACCCCACAGAGAAACTACCCCCTTATGCTTATTTCCTCTTGAAAAAAAAACTTTACTGCCTGGGGACTGTGAAAGGCTCTCTTGTAGATCTTGCAAAGCTGTTTTCCACTAACGTATTCCAAAGGTCTTTTGTGAAACTACTGAAAAATACCCCAAAATGTTCTGTGATTACAGGATGTTAGAAGTGTGAGATAGAAAAGGTCTATTGGATCACTGAATGACTTCCCTGCCAGGGAAGGATATAATTCCTCCGGAGAAAGGGCGTATTGTCTCTGGGAGAGTACTGATGCCAAATGCTAAAGAGATGAGCACATCTGAAAAGCTGATACAAAATTTTGGCAAGTGTTAAACTAACACTATACTTCAATTAAGGATCCTAAACAAGTGTGACAAAACATAACTTCAAACACATTCACATGTAATTTTCACAGCATCCTCGAAGGGGCATTGCATTTCAAAGGGCCAGTTAAAACTTTAAACATTTCTTTTTACAGTGAGCCTTTGGCACCACTTCTGGCTGTAAGCTTGCATAAAAGAACAAGAATACTTCAGTAAACACTCAACGCATCAGGCAGTGTGGGAAGTTTAACACATCTGCAGTGTGATCCTGAGGAAATAAGTAACAGCTCCTACCAAGATTATAACAAACAGCACAAAACGGTGACAAGTAAACAATGCACAACACACTGAACAATGCTTCTTGAGAGCAAAGAGAAAAGGAAGTTGGATTATTTTTAGCTAACCTGAGTGTAATGGATGGTGAAGATTGCATGGGATCTGCTGCTGGCATTGTGAATGTGCGTAGCTGCTGTGATTCTAGAAAGAAGAACAAACCATTCAATTACAAAGGCTTATTTCCCTGTATTTGGGGAAAGCAAAAATAACAAATGCACCAGATAAAGGAAAATGAAGGAACGTGAAGCTTGGAGAATACGGTTGGCCTTATTCTTGGATCTGATCACATAGCACTTGGCATAGGACTTGGAACAGTAGAAACCTGAAGGTGAGTTAGAGGTGCTTTTGTCCACAAGCTGTACTCTGAAGGAATATGTTAAAGCAGCCTTACAGCAGTGTAAGATGTTGCAAAAGAGTAGAACACAGCAGAGAAGTAGAGCCAGCAACAGCATTGTGCAGCTCACCCCCAGCACCACTGAATGTACTGGCCCAGTATTTTTTCTCCGTATTGTCCCCATTTCTACTTCTTGGTACTTCAAAGGGTCGAAACACTTGATATACCACTTCTGGGGCTCCCTTCCGTCACAGGGCTAATACAGTGGTTTTATGCTGTTAAGAGGAGTCCAATGAGATTTGCCAGTCTACTCATAGGAGTATCAAATGAGTATTGTAATTAACTCTTGTAGCACTTGCTTGGCTTTACCACTTGGACAGACTGGTCATCTGGCACTAACCCTCCAACCCACCACACCCCAGCAAGCAGCACCAGGCACAGGAGGAGGAGGAGCAGTGCCACTCTCCCACTATACAATACAAACTTTTGGAAATTCTGCTGTCTTTGCCACAGAAGGCCAAAGCCAGGACTCCCTTCCCTATTGCTCTCTGCTTCCTACACCTCCACAGCCACGGGAGTAGGCACTGCCAAAAGTTGCAGGCAGTCTAGTGCATCATAGCTGTAAGTGAGCCTAAGCTGAGGAGGCAGGAGAATGCGTCTCCAGATGTTGGAGGAGGAAGACAAATAGATGAAGGGCAGAAGACAGCTCTACGGTGGGCACAAAATATAATGGAACAGCAGTGAAGTTTATAAAGCAAAAAGAAAAATAGAAAGTACCCCAGGATTTGAAGGGGGGTTTAAAAAAAAGGATAAAAGTTCTCCGGGGCTCCTGGCCCAGGGGCAATCGCAAGGCGGGAGGGTGGCAGCTCTGCCTATGGGGAGGGGAGGATGGGTCAGGTGACCCAACTGGACCAATGTGCTCAGTATAAAAGGCCCCTAAGAAGAGCCCCGGGGGCTTTAGTGCCGCTGGGCTGAAGGGCTGCCAGGGGCTGTTCCTCCTCTCTCCCTGGGCTGCTGCTGCTCCCGCCGCCCCTTTTGAGGAGCTCCGTTCATCAGGACAGGTCACCCTCCCCGGATGGGAGTGGCACAGCTCCTTTTCTGGTTCTGTGGGCTGTCTTCTGGGCTCAGGCACTTTTTCACCTGGCACCTGGTTGTCATCTGAAAGGTGCAGGTCCTGTACTAACATATTCTCTTGTATCCTTGAATATATTTGCATAGTTGCATATATCTCTATACTGTTCAGCATCTTCATTTTTAATGTTAGTATTATTTCCTATTTCATTAAACTGGTTCAAACTGTTTTTTCTTCCAACCTCAGAGTCTCTCTCCCTGATTCCCTTGCTATCCTCCCCTGGAAGGGCGTTGGGGGGGATCACAGAGAGTGTCTGCCAGAGTTTAGTGGCTGGCCCAGCCCTAAACTTCTACAATGAGGAATTGCTTGTACTCATTTCTCGCCTCCAACAACACACAGGGTAACAGAGGGCACGCTCACATCTTGACTACTCGCCACCCACGTGAGCATTTTTATACAAGAACGTATTAGGTTTTTGTATACTCTATTCCATCACGACATGTGGTATATATTTTAAGAATTTTAACTGTTCTAATAATATTATCGAGATTAAGTGCCTGTTTTGCTTTATACAGCACTAGGGCTATGCTTTTAGAAACTTGGAAATTTCCATCCCCTGTATTTTAAAAATTTTATTCTTAAGCATTTGAGACTGAGTCTTGCAAAGTGTTGAGAAAAAAATAATAGTGATGAGAAAACTGTAGGGACTACGCTACTAGACAGACTGGGATTTTGTGCTGTTCTGAAAAAGTCTATTCTGATAGAGTTGCATCTGCTGATCACTACAAGCAGAAACAACAAAACTGTATATTCTGTGGTTTTGTGATAATGCAGCTTAGTTTTATTGCCCATCATCACTGATGTTGTAAAATCTTGATCTCTTGTGATAAGACTTCATAGAAATTTTGGGACTGTGATTTGTGTTTGGAAGATCCTTTCAAATACAATTCTTTTCCACGACTGTGATGGTATTTGCATTGACACACAAGGCTCCCTGTTGAAACAGTAAAAAAGTATCTTGACTAATGAGAGCCAAAATCATTGGCTTCGCTGTTGTGCCCATTCTCACAGTTCTCTCATAGCAAATGCGCATGATTTGGACAAGGCACTTAAAAAAGTACTCATAAAAATTAAACCAAGTAATTATAAACCAGATAATTTTAGAAATTAAATAGAAATACACTATCTTTTCAGCAGTTTTAAATCTCTAAGTTACACTAACAGGTGAGTTGAACATTATGCAGTCTAAAATGCTATGAACAAGTGGAGGAGAAAAACGGAAGTCTGTTTACAGGAAAACACTTTCCTGGCATGCATTTTTTATCCCAGACAGATGGCTGAATTTTGTGGGTAAGTCAGCACGGGATCAGTTTTGAAGAAACAAACGCATGAGTGCTTGTAGCTCTTACTGTGGATAATATAAGGATACATGATATGTGATGTGCAGGATCAGCAAATCATGGCAAAGCATTAGCAACACTGTCAGTAAAACAGACATCAGTGAAATCAACACATAGTGAAAGAGGTGTTAATTAAAGACGGCGCTCGTTTGTTTTATAAATACCTTTTAGCTATTCCTTCTTCTAGAAGTTCTACCACTTGCTTGTAGTCAGAAACTAAGTGTTGAGTCAATCCTGTCAAAGATTAAAAAGAGTTAAATGCATATCTTCTCAGGAAGTTTCAGTCAGTTTATGTAACAATTCACCCAACATCAGGAGCATAAGGTTGTTCTGCTGGGATGCCAGGCTGTTCTACAAGTAGTCTCTCAACTAGAGTAACTATATTTTAAAAATCAATTTTATATTTAAAATATAAAATGAAAAATCACAGACCATCCTTCAGATGCAGTGACATCAGTATAAAAAACACTTTGTACCTTCAGAGCACAGGCCTTTTGCCAATACGTCTGCAGAACAATGGTATTTAAAAAACTGGAAGAACTGAAACCTCATAAGAAACTTTCAGCTAACTAACTGGGTACAGATCCTGTAAAGAAGGTTTTCGCTATTGCACCTGGATAAGGGCTCTGCTCATGGAACTAACAGAATGAGGAACCACCCTCTGTGCATATTTACCACTTACTTAACTAGGCTTCAGCCTGCAACACTTAGTCTTTAAATCCTTTATTCCCTAAAGGGGGAGAAATGTTTGACCTTTTCATATCATCTGCTTTCGGGGGGGGGGGGGGGGGGGGGGGGGTTTTTATTTTTTAAATTTGATTTTATTTTTGAAGGGGTAGAAAACCCACTGTGAACAAATGAAAGAAATGCTGCATTGCAGAGCCTGCTGTGTCGGAGGAGTACTTGTGATGGGCAGGGCCCCGGAGAAGGGCAGCATGGCGTTGCGCTGTAGCGGCACTATCCGACCCTTGCAAAATGCAAATTCCAGCAGACACACTAAATTAACCTCAACAGGCTCATATTTCACATAAATCCAGTTTAATATGCCTACTTTGCATTTTATGGCGATGATGAGTTATCATTTGCACTGCAGTGGCTCCTGAAAAAACACCTGAGTGGGGAAGCAAGCCTTTGTCATACAGCACCTGGTAAAACACTCCTTTGCAGAATGTTTTATCTCACAGCTAGAATCCAGGGCTACTTCCTCCCCCCCTGCACTGGTTTATGTTCGGTTTGCTTTATTGCAGGCCACAAAAGTGTGGATGAAGGCAGAGCAATTACTTGGATCAAATAATTTATCTACTGCTGGAATGTAAGTCAAGATGAATATAAAATTCAACAAGACTGAAATAAGTACTTCTGACATTGTTAGAGGGAGCCTATCTTTATATAATAACAGCTTGCATAACTTTAAATGAAAGCAAAATCTAAGGCAAAGATAGGAATTTATTTTAGTCCTTTAACAAGTGATACACATTAAGAAAAGAAGATCTTTGGATCACCCACACTTTTTTTAAAAAAAGCCCCAACTGTAGTGTGCATGCATGCACACACACTCAAAGTACAGGATGATTTTCAAACAAAAACATTTATTCCGCTCTCTAGTGTCCCTTTACAATACATTAATTCCAGAAGTCATCACATTTTCCATTTGAGAAAGAGGCCCATTATTTCTGCAACAGCACTGGGATCTTCAAAGTTCTGAATACGGAAACTATCACATATTGTTTTCCCAGACCCTTTTCTAAGGTCTTAGTTAAAAGAATAAAAATCCAGTTACAAAATGGAGGCATAGGAGAAATTCTTAGCTACTTATATTTCCATAAGCACTGGAATAGTGAATCTAGCACAAAGTTAAAAAGATTTAGTTTTTCTATTTGGTAAATGAAATATTGCAAATGTTGTTTGAAAAGAAATGACAAAGTGTTCTGTCGGCTGCCAGGAAGAAAATGGTCATTTTCGAGTCCTATAGAAAGATGCAAAAACACTTGCTCGTCTAGAAATCTGCCTTGGAGTAAGAAAGGATCTCCCCCAGAAATCTGTCTCAGAGTAACAAAATAGATTGCATCATTTCCTGATTTAAGAGAGGCTGATTCCTTAACAGTGCAACCATCTGTGAGGGAGAAACTTGAAACGATTCCAATCCAAAGCACTCAAACACTTTCAGCATTTAAAGGCTACAATCCCACAGCCTTTACGTGGAAAAATGATGGGCTGGAAACTATTCAAAATACTTTTTGTTCAGAGCTGGGACTTCCTGACTGGACTCACAAATGGACAGCCCCCAGAGTATCCAAGCATCCTTAAGCAGGTTAAGTTTTCTGATTTTTCCTCTCTGTCTGTTCTTCATGCAGTGCTACCTGTACTCTGGGTATAATTGACACCAACCACACAACTGACAAATTAATGGCACATCGGGAGCTCCTGACCAAAGTCAGCCAGGGGTATGATGCAAATACAGATGCCAGTCCTGAACATATTGGATGTACAGGAAATAACTGGAAATTTCTGAGCCTTGCTGATTTTCACCATTTTTATTTCTCCCATAGAGCAAACTGCCTGGAGAGGGAATATAAAACAAGCTTCCCTTCTAGTAAACCTGCTGATAATTCCAATCTTGGCTGCCAAGCTATGGGAAACAATATTGTCAAAGACTACGCCAGCACGTAGAAGACCCTCATTACAGAGATCAGCAATGGTTGGTTGCAGCAATATATTATTGCAGTTGAGACGGGTGTTTTGTTCCAGTGTTGTGAATCACTTAATTTCCTTGCATTTGATATTATTTCAATCCAGCTGACGGCACTCCTCCCCTGCATTCTAAAGAGCTCTGGACTTTCTCACCGCTCCTTATTTTTGATGTGAGCTAATGAGTGCAGTTCCAAAAGGAGCTAGGTAATCACACCCTCTTTATAAGTCTCTTTCCCCAAAAGACACCAGGGTTGCCTCAAGTAAAACCAACTGCTACAGTTCTTAACTGCCTAAATAAGCATATTTATTTATTAAGATAAATACACACATCTGGAAAAAAAAGAGAACTATGTCATCTGACTGTTGCCCTAAGCCACTGACTCATCAGCCTGAAATCACTTCTGCTCACATGCTCTCATGACAGCATCTAAATACATCCCATGATGCCTTCAGCAGAGAATTACTTAATTTGTCATGCATGTAATTGTTTTTTCTAAAAATGTAAGTCACATTTCTCATTAAAACTTAAACTTTTCTTACAGGCATTAACATGATTTTTGGAGGCTGCCATAAGATACAGAGGGAGAGAACCTTCTAAAATAAAGTATTCATACTGGATTTACAAACGTGGCCAAATCTGGCAAACACTATTTAGGTTAATCTTTTTTCATTATTCTTTCTTCTTATTTCACAAAATCTAATCAACTGGGAACTTTTAGGGGCTATTTCAGAACTCTAGCACAAAATTGTTTCACTTAAATTTTCAGTTGTGTCAAAGCATAAAATCCTTATTCAAAGGATGTAAAATCAAACTAACCCCAACAGCACAGAACTTGAAGTGACAGATTTGGCCTGGAAGGTTCCAGAGGAAGACAAAATAGTGACAAAAGGCGGGCCAGACCATTGGCAGAAGCTATAACTTCATTTTCTGTTAAAACAAGGAAACTCCATTACATGCAGCCAAGGAATCACTGGAGATATAAGGGCTGAGAGAAGGGATGGAAACTGCCAAGGAAGGAAGCAGTTTAAAGACCTTTTCTTGTGTGGTGAATGAGCAGCTGCTAAAAGAAAATAATTAGTGTCTGTACTCCACCAACAACAAAATTCTCTGATAACAAGCAGGTAGAAAGAGAATCTTGGAAAGACCTCAATAAAAGGGCAAATGTTTATGAATCTGCTTTTCAACGAATGCAAAGTTTGCCATACTAATGAGACCATCAATTCATCTATTTTGCAACTCTTCTTAAACAGGATGCTGATGTGCTGGGAAAGCACAGCTAAAATAACCAGAATGCCAGATAGTCCCTTGTGTATAGGACCACGCAAGTTAAACACTTCCCAAGAGCTTATTTCAAAATCTGAGAGGAGGAATGGGTAACAACCATCGCCTGTTAGACATACTATGACTGATACTGCAGGTGCCCAGGGAACAAGAGCTGGGGATCCCAGGCTCCTTTCAATCACACGATCAAGTCACCCTATCTGTTGTCACATCTTGCCTTAATCTCTGAAGTGAGGATAACATGGAATGCCACATTAAAAAGAGGGAGAAAAGCGAAGCAGGGAAAACAACAGAATTCACGAAACAGACAAACTCTATTTAAAAGCCAGAACAAATCGATATTTGATTTGATGTGACAGGACCAATAAAATTCAGCGGGACGTGCATTCTGTACACTAAATGTATACTCCTCAGGTGCGACTGCCCACTTGGTGGCCCAAGCTAAGCAGAGTCGCTGGTACCAGAGGCAACTTTGGAATCCTGCCCACTAGGTACAAGGCACACTGAAACAGAAACATGTACATTTACTTTCTAAACAAATTCACTAATTTTTAAAACTTGCATCAGTTCGGAAAAGGCTCTTCCGTCTGATCTCCACCGTAAAGCTACTCTGTATGATTTTGCACTGGTGTGCTGATTTTGAAAGGTGTGCTTTTTGTCAGCTGCTGGTCAGATAAGCAGCAACGTACCAGGAAAACCTCACCTCGGGAGCTGATCAATTCACAGAGTACCAACGACCAAACCCCAATTTAAAGCTATGTAAAACCCTGATGTGAAGGTATCAGTCAAAAGTGAAAATAAATAGGAAGCACAAAAACAATGAGAGAGAAGATAAAAAAAATAAACTAAGAAAGACAAGTGAAATGGGAAAGAAAAATACAAGTGAAGCTTTTTTTCATCTGTTCTGTGTTAAAACAGTTTTGAACGCTATGATTCTCTAGAAAACACAAAACCATCTGAGGGGTTGCTGTTCCATGTCTGAATTAAAAAGTATGTGATGTTTTCAACCATCCTGTGCTTCTTCAGTTTAATAAAGATAAAATTAAGCCTATTGGATCCTCACTTGCATAATACAAGTTTTAATTTCTTCCTGCAGCCTGACTTGCAAAATCAAATTATACAGTTTATGTACTTTTGTAGTTTTACTATTTTATACACACACTGCTGCCAAGGACTGAAACAGGTATGGAGGGACCTTAGACTGGTCAGGAGAACCCATTTAGAGCTGGCAGTGGTGGGTTTCTTGATTAAGTTACTATTTCTTTAAAAAGAAAGCAAAGCACTACGGTTCACACACAACCTATGCTTGGAAAGGGACTAGGTTATCCAGCCAGTGTTATACCAGAGGCAAAGCTTTCGGTGTATTACACATGTTTATATTAACAAACAAAATATTTGGGGAAAGTAACTCTTGAAGAGTAGAAGCAATTAGGACAAACAGGAACATGCAAAAATGCATACAGGCCTGACACACATCTATTTGAAATTCGGATGCTAGTTGCAAAGCCAGCTCTCACCTTGTACATACGGTCCAGTTTCAGGGTGTTCTCGGACTCGAAGCGTGTAAGGTTTCTTTCGGTCTGATTGTTTTAACAAATCTCGGACACGCTCATTATAGATTTCAAGAAAACTGAAAACCACAAAAATTATGAATGTTAAAAGCACACTATTAAAAAAATAAAAGAAAAAAGTGCATACATTTAAACAACACAACTACCTGAATCTTACATAGATCTTTCATGATAAAGTTAATGAATTAATTTTCATTATCTCTGTTACTGCCCCTTCCCATTCAGTGAACACAGAAAGAACTCATAATAGCAAATTTCCAAGAAGCAGGAGGCATTCAATACTTTGCTTAAAAATACATAAAATACGCTTTTTACCACTAATGAGTTCAAATCCCGAGGCCTCCAACCATAATGCTTCATTAGATCAATGGGAATTATGAGTAAGAATGGATTGTAGGATTATGGCTCAGATTTAAGAGTTAAATAAACAGAAATTAATTTTTTAATGCACTCCCATTACAGCTGTCTATACAAAAGTGAATAGACAGCATCCAAAGAACTACACTGAGCTGGAAAACTAAAACCAACATTTTTTTCGTCCTTCCTCTGTGTTCTCCCCCTTGTTTCAAAATGATTATCATCTGAAAAAACAGAAAGAAAATAAACCAGTCTTTACTTTGTTTGATTACAGGCATACGTTGTTGAAATCATTCACAGCACTCCCCAAAACAGTAACACACTTACCTGACCTTTACTCTGCAAGATGCTGTCTGGTCTGAGTAATCATCCTTCCTTGAAAAGAGGCCCTGCACAAACCAGAAGTTTGTGTTTTAAACTCATCAAGAAAATCTAATTGCTTAAACAAATGCAAGTGAAATAAAAAAATAACTACCTCACATATACGTGGAGTCAACCCAACGGATGCCTTCAAACAATAAACAGAAAATAGTTAAACAATACACTTGCCATTGCTCCCGCAAAATGTTTTGGTTAGTAAAAGCCAAGTTATAAGAAAAGGACAGAATTATAGTGCAGCATTAAAGGAATGACTGTACAGTGGATTATAACGTCAACCGCCCTTGAGGGTAGTTCAGAACAGCACAGCAATGCCCTACTGCTCCAGCTGAGACATCCTGCACACGAAACACTGTGGTGATTTGTGTGCTGTCTTAGCTTCAGTGCAAATGCTATGATAGCAAAAGTCAATTTAGAGCAACTTATAAAGCACTGATGGAAGTTTAGAGGTCTGGGTTAAATTCAAGAGCTATCTGATGTGAAGGTACTGGACATCCCTATGTCAGCTGTGTTGCAGTCTAGACAAAGCCAGGCCAACACCGAAACTAGCTTGGTTAGTCATGAGTATGTGCTTTTTTTCTCATTCTCCTTTCATTGCTTTGTGCTATGGGAACAGAACAGGTTCAGAACAGCTTTTTGTTATTGATTTATAAGTGTGGAGTCTCAGACAGAAGAGGATACAGGCTGCTAACAGCACCCAAACCAGCTGATTTAAACTTTGACCAAACAATCTACACAGCACTGCAGTAACAGCGTGGTTTTGTGTGATGAACTGTTCTCAAGACACACTTGCTCACAGTTCAGTATTGTAGTTCCAATATACCCTGAGAAGGGTTCTAACGCTTAAAGTAGAATCTACTGAAGTGAAAGGCTTTCAGAAGACACACTTGAAATGGTGTTGAGGGGAGACGGTTAAGGTTCCTCAAGTGCAGCACAGTGCACAAAAGTTCAGTTTACACTAAATATGCATTTCCTCCTAATTTTGAACATGGTTTCACATTGAACATACTATTAAAGAGCAGGTCAAAGCAGGATTACCTGGGAGAAAGGAATAATTTTCTAAGCCAGAAATCTCTAAGAAACACTACAGGTGGAAATTTCCTTGCAAAAAATGATTTCAAGATGCGACCATTCCGAATTGCTAAGATATTTTCCAAATTATGTAATATAAATAGCCTAGTTTGTCACTTATTAGCCCCAATTTTAACAATCCTTCAGGCTTTCATAGAGTTAAGCTTGACTTTGCATAAAATGAATGATGCTGCAGCAGCACGCTGGAAATCCTCCACTGATTCCATCTGTCCAAGTACCAAGATTAAAATGCACTTTAAGTGGTTCCTGGTAGACAAGAATCTTAAAACGTAACAGCTTTTGCAGTCACTATTCAAATACGCTTAAAACTGGAAGTGAAGCAAGTATTAGCTTCCACAGGCCAAAGGATAACTTCTGCAACAGATAAATGTCTCAAGTAGACAATGAAGCCTGTTATAAAAGCGTGCCTATGAATTGTATCCAGTTTTATTTGTGAAAGTAATTTAATTTGAACATAGCTCAGACTGCCAAAAAACTCCATGAGAATGAATACTTTGAATTATCTTCAGCCAGACTTTTCTTAAAAAAAAAAGAATTAGTCAGGGGCATAGATTCTTTTTTTTGTCCTCTGACACAGCTAGAACCGTACACTGTAAGATAAAGGTTACCTAAAATAAATGTTTAAACTACACCATATTTTCTAGCATTTTTAGCTGTTGCTACATTATTTACCTAAATGCAAGTAAAACATGTATAAGCATTCTGCTCAGCACCATAACCATAGTTTAGAAATAAAGTGATGTTTCAGCCAGACGTCTCACCCTCATCCCTAAGTGCAAAATGAATGGTGTAACTCACGGGTGTTCCCATCATTGTGTAAGTTTTTCCTGAACCCGTCTGTCCATATGCAAAGAGGCAGATGTTGTATCCTTTAAATGCACCTGACAACACAGAAGTGCCAAGGTCCTGGAACACCTGCAATGACCAAAAGAAACAAAACAACTTATGAATAATGTGCCTCTCTATAAACACTCTGCATTACCTGTGGATCTTGCAGCTTTACTATCTCCACGGCAGGAAGGTTCTTCACAGTATTTGTCTTTCTAGTTTGCCAGACACAATGTTAAGTGCCCAGCATTCACCTGGTAGATCTTCTCCCAGATGCTGGTGTGCCTGGCACAGCACTGGCATCCAGCAGCAGTGTTTAATTGTGGTTCCCTGCCTGCTGTCTCTTATTTTATACTTAAACTGTATGAATTCTCAAAGATCTCACCCACACCAAGTTTTTATAACCCTCAGCACGAACACGAAAGAAAGGCACGATCAAGTCTCTGATGCAATCACGTCAACAGGAGCATCAGGCAGCAGAATTACAGGTCAAAGGCAAAGCCAAGTCTGACCTACTGCCTGCAGCAAACCTCACCCAAAAAATACTTCTATCTGACCAGTCTGGTAAGTAAAAGTAAACAACACCACGAAAGCCTAGATGCTTTTTTCCCGTTCACATCACACCCAGAGTGATGTGCTGCCTTCTGCTTGTCGCCATACAGAGTCAGAAACTCTTACTATCAAATCAGGGTCAGCCTCTGAGGTCTTCCAACACTTGTACTTGTCCCACGCAGAAGTTGGACCATCCCAGCCAGACTACCCATACAGCAAGATCTGAACAGTCATTCCCCCTGCTTTCCCTGTTCTTTTTTCTGGAGACTCAGTGGCCCCACATTGTTACCACATTCTCAGCACAACCTCTTCTCAGCTGCCAAGCCCTTAGCACAGCTTTGGCCTTTCAAAAGAAACGTTACAAGCACTAATGGCTTTGCCATTCACACAGAAAACTAGGTGGTATACACAGCGAGATGCATACGATTTCAGTGTGTCATCCAGTGCCAGGTCATTTGCTTCTCCAATGGACAGATAAATGTACTAAGTCTAATATAAAAACCAATAGTAAAACATATTTCATAGACATCACCACTTTACCTAAAATGCCCAGGAAAGAGATCTTCTCCTGAGACTTTTATTTTCAGATCACATTTCAACTTAAACCGAGACAAAATGCTAATTTCAAACTGAAGAATCAGTAATATTTCAGTTTGGCAGAATTTGGCTACCCCTGCCCATATTTGTAAGAGAATGTGGCACGTCAGGAATGTCTAAGGCGAGCGGGATCAAGAAGGAGAAGTGGGTATAGAAGGGGCTGGTCTCATATAAGCAGCAGATCGATCGGTATGTGTGTCTGACTGAGCCCTGCACCTGATCACCACAGTCTATTTTCTTATTAAATTCTTCCTTGATGATCTTTCCATGTAACCACACTCTCTATCCCATGTGTGAGTGCTGTAAGGACTAGATGCCAGCAGCTGGGGAGATTGGAGTGAATTTGGGGCAAGCAAGAGAGTCAGAAGACCCCAGATGGCAGGGCCATCACATCAGCGGTGCCAGCAAACAAAGCCAGTGACAGTCTCAGTGTTGGTAGCTGGCACGGCCATGGACCTAAGGAGCACAGGTTCAGGGTGCCAGTTACTGGGGAGACTAGGGGGAGTAAATTCAGGTCAGCAACTGCAGTTAGATAGGAAGAAGGGGACGTGGCTGTCTGTGTTTGATGTGTGTGCTGGTAGTGTGATATGTGGGTGTTGTGGAAGGCAGTGCCTTCTGGGGCCATCCAAGTAGGCACTGGTGTCCTGTGTCCTCTGTCCTTGCCAGTGTCTGTGGTTTTGGGATGGACACTGGGACTCCCTACTGGCTGACCTTGCGAAAGGGAAAGCAGCTGCCCCATCCGTAAGTCTGGGGTGGAGAGACCTCCAGGTCCACACACACTGGGCTGGGGCCTCCAGGGGCTGGGCAAGACAAATCGCCACGTCCTGGAGTCCACAGGATTCAGTAGCCTTATACATACCTTAAGTCTATCAAGCTCCTTATTAGGAACAATTTATCTATGGTCTTGTATAATTAGACCAAAGCCAGAAGTCCAGAAAATAAACTGTAGTTCATTTGCAGCACATCTTTGCAGTAATTCCTCTCTACGGACAATACACTATAGAAAGGCGGCAACTCCCTGCCCAACTTTTATGGGCAGAAACGAAAAAAATAATACAATTAGCAAAATAAATTAATGGTGCATAGCTGATGAACAAGTTAACTAACGGACATGTTAGCATGATAGTTAAAAGTCATGTTGAAGAGGCCAATCTTCACCTAAAAAACACACATTGCCCAAATTTAAAAAATACTATCACATTACTTTTACAAATGTCAGTATATACATAGACACAAATACACATTATTTGACACTAAAAAGGCTTAGAATCTGTATAAAAATCCAGAAGCGCACAAAAAAGGCAGAGAAGAGGCTTAAGAAATGAATGATAGAGAAGAAACCTACTGAGAGTCACTTGAGAACGTCAATTTTAAGGTGACACTATGGAAGGAAAGCGAATAGTTTAAGAGAAGAGGGAAGTTTACCCCCCAGGGATTTTAATGGTCTGAGTGTTAGCATCAAAGGCAGCATAAAAAAGTGCTCAGCAAAAATAAAAAAAAGAGAGCTAAGAAAGCTATACATTCAAAGCATCAGGCAAAAGAAAGATGAAAAAACAGAGCAACAATTAGGAATTACAGCAATAATTACGATTCCACAACCAGAACTGAGAGAAAATTTTTCCTTATTAATCAAGCACATACTGGAAATTATGAAATAAGATCACAGGCAGAACTTTGTCCGCAAGACTTGCATTTCGAGCCTTGGGAAAATGGAACTGCAGGGATTAGTCTAGAGGTTGGGTTTTCTTGGAGGTTGCCTGTAGCAGTGTTTCAACATCTGTTTTTACTTATATCCCTTTATCCATGGGAGCCCCACTTAAAAATAATAATTGGATAAATGTTCTCAAACTGTGCCATTAGGCCTGTGGCTTTTATTTTATTCCATAAGCAGGCTTCAGTGGGTCTGACTGCAATGGGATTTCTTACCCAAACAAGGTCTGCAGAAATTGGCCCTATATTTCAGAGTTCACTTTTACAACACGTTCTGAGTCTTCCACTGCTCCTCATCTACTGTTTTTGGTTTAGTAATGTGATTGCATTTGGCCACAGTATTCAACGGATCTCTGTACCGTCCCAGCTTCTGAACTGAGAATCACAGTCTGTTACAGTGATTCAGCAACAGTCACGTCAATCTTCTAAAAGCAATAGGAAAGCATCTAAGCATTAACAGCAGTAATAAAAATAACTGCAAGCGATTCTTGGCAAAATGACCGTAACATAATTCTCGAGCTGCCTAACTGGTTTGCCTAAGGCCTTCCTCTTAAGGTTCTGTTCCCACGTGAGTTCTCCAGCGAAGAGCAGACAGAGTTAAGGGAGGAAAAGTGGGACTGTTGTCCATGGGCAGCAACAAATCAGTGGGAAAGAGATTGAGTTTGGAAGACAAATGCAGGAAACCATTGGGAGGAGAAAGAACAAGGACAGAAGTGTGGAAGGCAACATCTGTAGATCTGGAGTCCAGAGGGTTGGATTTTGGGGCAAACCGAATGGGATTGGAGTCAAGCAGTATAAATAGGACTAAGAAATGACAGGATGCGTTCTCTTGAAGTAATAGGAGTAAGGTGAGTCTTGCCCATTTGCCTTCAGAGTATCGACATTGAATAAATTCAGGAATTTTGCATGGCTTGTTGTACAAAGAAGTGGCCTAAAACCAGTTTGTGTACTCCATATCAATTTAGAAACCTGTACTTCACATGCTAGAACCTGTTAGAGTAGGGACAAATGCAGCATGGAGAAGTAACTTGATTCTCTGACAGTTTCCCCATTAAGTGCTGTCCTCCTTTCTGAAGGTTCATAATGAATCTTTGAGAGTTATTAATTGATCTAAAAATAGTAAACCAAAAAAGTTGGCAAGCCTTTGAGATAGCAATGCTAGCAATGTCATCTGGACATCGAAGTTGAAATTTTAGAAGAAATGCATTTTACTTCTAGCTCTGCTGTTGAAAGTTCTGTGCAACGCTGTGTAACTCATTTAACATTTGAATGCTTCAATTTTTCTACCAATAAAGTAGGAATAATCCTACCCATCAGTAGAAAATGGTAGGATCTTCATAAAATTCCTTGTGATCTTAGAACATCCGTAGCAACTTAAGCCGACTATGCAACTATGTGTGCTCTCTCTCTTCACATACACTGGACTTTGAAAGAAGAAAATCTAACCCTGAAGTCCCAGCTAAGCAAAGCTCTGTTACATTTACTCTCTATTAAATACACATGTCTACTCAGACATTTCAATTCAAATATGTTTCAAATCAGTCCCTTTTGAATTAGGTCTGGAGAGAAGATATATTATTACAAACAAAATTGGATAACTCTACAAAGAGTGCCATAACACTATGATGATAATGAATGAGAATTAAAAAAACTATTTACTGAAATCCTGTTAGAAGGTGATTTGTACTGTTTTGTATTTGTTCTTTCTCATAAATTACTCTTCTTTTGTGAGGATAAATTACAACTAATTTAACTAAATATATAGTCTCACATTAGTCAGCAAAGCCTTTGTTTTAGTGCACTGCAGAAAAGAAAAAAGGGGAAGTGAAGCACAGCAATAAATTTATGTCTTGTTTAAAAATAAAGGAAAGTAATTGAAAAGCTGCTTCTGTGCTAATGTCAGAGGCATTAATCCAAACATCCATCAGCATCAACAGCTGAAGATTATTCAAAAAGTGCTATGATTAATCATTCTGGACGTATGTACTAACATGTTTCATTATATCGAAACATCTCGTTTTTGTTAATCATGAGAAAAAAAAAGAAAGAATAAGAAAAAAAAGGCAGGGATGCTCTTGGGACTATTCCAAGCCTCACTTTTGAAATGAGCCTTCAGGAAGATGAGGTTTCTCAAAGAATATGAGTTGGATATGGCTTCCTGCAGAGAACACACCATCTGGCCAGAATGACAACGTCTTTCCTGCACGACTGCTCTCCGAGATTGGCAC